ATTCCGTACATGTCACCACCTTAAGCGTTCAGTTCAATGGTTTCTTAGTATTTTCACAATGTTGTGCAACCATCACTACTATCTAATTACAGCACATAACATTTTCAGCACCACCCCAAAAAAACTGCATGCCTGTTAGTACTCACTCCCCATTCTTCTCCTCCCATAACCCCTGACAACCATGAATCTACTTCCTGTGTCTGTGCATTCGCCTACTGTAGACTTTTTATATAAATAGAACCCTGGCTTCTTTCACTTAGCATAATGTTTTCAAGTTTCACACATGTGGTTGCATGGATTAGTACTTCCTTTTTAGGGCTGAATATTATTCCATTGTGTGATACACCACATTTTGTTTATCCACTCATCAGGACATTTGGGTTGTTTTTACGTTTTGGCAACCATGAATAATGCTGCTGTGAACACTGCAATTTTATAAGTGGACATGTCTTCAGTTGTCTTGGTTATATATCTAAGAGTAGAATTTGGTAGGTTACATGGTAGCTCTATCTAACCTTTTGAAGAACTGTCAAACTATTTTCTAAAGTGGCTGCACCATCTTTTTTTTCTTTGAGACAGGGTCTTTCTCATTCCCACAGGATGGAGTGCAGTGGTATGATCATGGCTCACTGCTTCCTGGGCTCAAGCAATCCTTGCATCTCAGCCTCCCAAGTAGCTGGGACTACAGCTGTGCACCACCACATCTGGCTAATTTATTTTTTAATTTTTTTTCTAGAGATGGGGTCTCACTATGTCGTCCAGGCTGTTATGGCTGCACCATCTTAAATTCCCACCAGCATTGTTCAAAGGGTTCAATTTCTCCACATCCCCATCAATGCTTGGTATTGTCTCTCATTCACTTTTTAACACAACCTGAAGTTGGTGTCCTCACCCTTATTTTACAGGTATGTAACTAAAACTGTGTAAGAAGTAACTTGCCCCAAGTCAGTCAGTTTGAAGCAATGGCGGAGGAGGCGCTTGTGAATTCCGGTCTCTCCACTAGCTGAGCCCATCCCTGCCCACGCATCAGGCTGGCTTCTCGAAGGCAGAGTTATCTTGCACAAAATGTGTAGGGGGCAGGACTCTTGACTGAGCCTACACATGAGCAGGGTGACCTTAGGAAAGCTGTTTAAGCAACGAGAGCTTCAACTGCCTCATCGCTAGCATAGAGTTTGATACCAAAAGACAGACAATAATGACAGCGGCAGCCGCTGGCATTTGTGAAGTGCCCGACCTCTTACACGCAAGTCCCTTTCTTCATTCAATCCTCACGACAGTGTGCCCACGGTCACTATCCCCATTTGATGAATGAGGAAAACTGAGGCTCAGAGAGAGCTGCTGCCCAGCTTCACAGTCAGCATGTGAAGAGCCTGCAATGTTCATCCCGTGCTAGATGGGTTGCGGGGCGCACAGAGCAGGGCAGTGTCTGTGATGTGTTCAGTGTCCCCAGGTACCTGTGTGGAGTCCGAAGGGAGGAGGCCTGGGAAGGCCGGAAGTTCGCTGTGTAGGGACGGGGCTGTCTTGTTCACCCTTTTATATGAGGCTGGTGGGTTTCAGGGACCCGAGCACCTGATAAATGGATGAATTCAGGGAGGAGGAGAGGAGAGAGGAGGAGAGAAGCTGGCCCTTTAAGAGTCCTAAGCCGGCCGGGCGCGGTGGCTCAAGCCTGTAATCCCAGCACTTTGGGAGGCCGAGGCGGGTGGATCACGAGGTCAAGAGATCGAGACCATCCTGGTCAACATGGTGAAACCCCGTCTCTACTAAAAATACAAAAAATTAGCTGGGCATGGTGGCGCGTGCCTGTAATCCCAGCTACTCAGGAGGCTGAGGCAGGAGAATTGCCTGAACCCAGGAGGCGGAGGTTGCGGTGAGCCGAGATCGCGCCATTGCACTCCAGCCTGGGTAACAAGAGCGAAACTCCGTCTCAGAAAAAAAAAAAAAAAAAAAAAAAAAAAAAGAGTCCAAGCCTTCTCTTCTAGCTGAGGTCTTTGTGCAGCCCAGTTCTGCTTAAGCCAAGACAAGCGATGGCCTCAGCCTCAAGGAAGGGTCTGGGGAGGGGCCGAGGCCGCTGAAGCAGTCTCTGCTGTAAACAAAGAGCCCTTAACTTAGAAAACCCTTCTCTCAGCCCCACAGGCTTGGGCCGTGGACAGCAAGAGCCGGCGGGAAAATGGCGGCCCAGGCCGGCAGCCGGCTCCAAGCTCGGAGGCCCCTGTTGACCGGCCTGGGAAATAAACAGGTGGGAAAATGTTGAGCACCCCAGTTGGGTCAAGGCCTCGAGGCCTGAGCGTGTGTCTTTGATCCGTCCCTGCCTCTCCTTCCCCAGGCACGCCCGTGACTCCAGCAGGCCCGCGGGGCGAGGGGGCGCGCGGTCTCTGACTCCTGCGCGGAGGGGTGCTCGGGCGCGGCGGGGACCCCGGGGCGGGGAAGCGCGGTGCGCCCGGCCGGCCGCACGGCCTCTGTCCCACCTCGACGGCTTCCCTCGTCTCTGAATCCGGGTTCTGGCCCGGCAGCTGCGGAACGTCTTCAGGCTCCCTGGAGTCCCCGAATGGGGCCTTGGGGACGGCACGGGGAGGTGCCCACCGCCTCTACCCAGGACGACGCGGCGCCGCAGCGCCTCGGGCTGCGGCTGACACCCCGTTTGGAGGTGACACTGGGAGGACCTGGGTGGGTTCTGGAGGGGGCGGTGATGGACTCGGGGCTGAGCCTCAAGCTGGGGACAGGAGTCCAGTCAAGCGAGACCCGAACAGTGGCTCTGGTGGGGTGGCGCGTCAGGGCAGGAGGGCGAGGGTGGCACGGGAGAGGCCCCATAACGGCCTGGGGTAGAGTCTGCCGTGGGAGCGGTTGCTGGCCGAGGTCAGTGTTCTGGGTGGGAGCCAGAGGGCCCATCTGGGCTGAAGGCTGGTGGCGGAGGCGGGCACGCTGCCAAGGCCAGGGACCCTGGGCTCCGCGGAGCTGGCACCGCTCTTCAGGCGGGAACTGCCCTTGGCTTCCTGCAGTGGGGCGAGTGCACCTCGGCCCACCCCTCTCTTTTAGGGGTGTCAGGGGACTAACAAGATCTCCCCTCTCCTCCCGCCCCCCTCGCCCCTTCTCCACCTCAAACCCCTCATCCACGCCTCCGCCTGGGCTGCTCGGCCCTTCCCGGTTGAAAGTCTGTATTGTGAAACCGGGGGAGGCATGTGTTGTGTGGAGCCCGGCAGGCTGGCGGGTTTATAAAAGGCAACATGTGTTTTCACATTCTTGTGGAAGACGTTCTGTCCACCAGCTGGGAAGCTGCGGAAAAACACACCAACAAGAAACAATTCCACATGCTGTGGAGTCAGCCTACGATTCGGGGTGTGAGGGGCTGGGCGTGCTGCACGCAGGAGACAGCTGACCCTCGACAATCTCCTAAGGGCTGTTTCCTGTGGGTCCCCCATCTCAAAGGGCCAGGATCCGCTAGGATTTCTAACCAGTATGGCTGGGGTCTAAAGGAAAGGGGCTTGGGGCCTCGCGGGGGTGCCTCCCATCTTCCTGGGATGCCCAGCCTGATTCTGGGGAGCACAGACTGAAGGAACCCCACAGAGCTGGAAGCCCTGGGGGGCAGCGGCAGAGGGACGGGTAAGCTCTGCAGCTTTGTGGGCCTCCTCCTGCCCTGGAGCAGGGAGAGCCTGGCTGAGGCCGTACCTCCTCACCATCCTCAATCAGGACTATGCGTTGACTTCCTAAGGAAGTTCCCGGAATCGAGCAGAGACAGAGTCTAGGGGCTCATGGAACATTCTCCATCATGAGGAGCCCCCAACCCACTTGATTGGCTTTGAACACTATGGCCTTAAGCCCTGTTTCCAAACGGGTCCTGGGTCTTAAGACCTATTCATGTAGCAGACCTGGCCGCTCGAGGAGAAAATGCTTTCAGATCCATAATACAAAAGGGGCCAGAGAGGCCCTGCAGGGGCATGGAGGGCAGCAACGGCGGAACTCAACCTCCATTCCCCCCGTCCTTCCTCTGTCTCCCCTGTCAGGCCAGTGCCAGGTCAGAGGCAGAGGAAGGGATGGTACCACCTGTGCCAGCACCATTTGAGGGACCGAAGGATGTCTGCCTTCTCCAGGCCAATTCTCCATTCACTGAGGTGCAGTGATCCAGCACCCCAGTTCAGAGAGCTGGCTATATTCCCCAAGACCTGAGGGTCAGTTGGGTCCCTGGAAGAACCCAGGGTCTGAGGCACCCTCTCATGCCCCCAGCAATCCAAGCTGGGCATTTGCTTCTCCATGAACACCCAGCACCCTGCTCAGCCCTAGCAGGGAAGAAACGAAACTGACTATGCTGGGGTTGGGGAGGGTGCTGGGGAGATGACCCTGATCGCTGGCCCCTGGGATGGTGGAGGTCTGACAGGGTGAATGGGTACTCACCGGCCAGGGATCCCACAGCCAGGATGGTCAGCAGTGTCCTCATCGGGGCCGGCACAGAGCCCTCCCTTGGCCTCCACTCTGCTGTGCACAGAGGGAGTGCTGGGAGTCTTGGCGCCCTGGCAGCTGGCTCCACCCGCTCCACTCAAGCGTGGGGCGGGGAGAAGGGGGCGGGCGGAGCCTGAGCTGGTGGGGAGCAGGGGTACAAAGGTGTCCTGGCCTGAGTGCTCTGGAATTCCAGGTTCTGGGCGGGATCCAAGGGAGTTCTCTTCCGTCTTGCAGAAAACAGCAACAGTAACAGGCTGGCTTGTTTATCTGGTCTGGTGGCTGATTCATCCTAAATGGTTTATCAGGGAGCTGAGGGGCAGAAAAGGCAAGAATAATCCACAATATGCAGCCTTATCAGAAAGCAGTTTGGCAATGTGGATCAAAAGCCTACACCACATGCCTATCTTTTGCTTTAATAGTTCTATTCCTAGGGGATTTACCCTGAGGAGAATAACTGAACAAGAGAGGGAAAAAAAAAAAAAGTCCCAGAAAGTTTCTTGCAGCAAAGGAAAAGCTGTGGCTCCTTTGTTTTCTCTGGCGGGAGGAGAGAGGGTGCCTGATGCTCCTCCTTGATCCTCCATTTCAAGGCAGGTCCCCACGCTTGCGGTGGGCTTGGGAACGGCTCTCCCCTAGAGAGGCTGTGGGGGTGAGGAAGCCCAGACACTCTTACCTTGAGCCGTTGGGTCTAGGATCTGCAAAAGGATAGAAAAAAAAAATGGAACTTGAACTTCGGTGATACTTTTTGCTGTGCTAGACGTGAGAGGATATTCGTGAATGGGCTTTCTCAGGACAGTGAAGATTCAGGCTGCTCTCCCATGCTGTCATTCTGCCACGTGGGACGGGATCTACAGAGATGAACACGAGCTTCGCCTGAATGAAGGGACGGGTGTATAGGAAATGGTTTTCTCCTCCCTGAAGGGCCCCGGAGAAGGTTGAAGGGGCCTGGACTCTGGTCAGGGTGGACATGATCCGAGGGTCCTGCCCCTGGGAAAAGTTTCCTTGGCCCCAGGTCACAATGACAAACTGAGATTTTAGCGGGGTTCCTGCCAAGGGGTTGGATATAATGGGGTGTGATATCCTGGGATCCCCGTTTAAGTTTTTCTTTCCTGAATTGTCATTTGTTTGTTGTCAGCCCTGAGCCTTTGCTAAAGTTTGTTTGAGAAATCTAAGCTGTGCTTTGAAGAAATGAAGATAGGGCCCATGCCAGCCATTTTCTGTAATTGCAGGAAACTACATTTCCCAGACTCCTTTATCAGATGCTCTGATCTCTGCCTCCTCAGTCTTCTCCCAGGGGTTAAACCTGGAGGAAGACTGGGGAGGCAGAGATCAGAGCATTTCTCCCCATCTTTTCTGCTTTGAGTGGCTTCCCCAGCAATGGCCGTGTCTCCTCTGAAGCTCCCCCTCCCTCTGGACAGTCCACCAGCCAGGCAGCCCCCTCTGTCTCTCTTGTCCTGTCTGAAGGCCAGCTCCTGGCTCTGGCAACACCTTCTCCCTGCATCTTTCCCATCAGCTGGTAGGATGGCACAGCTTCCTGCTGTGGGGAAATCTCTGAGCTGTCTCCTTTTCCTGATTATAGAGTCCCAGCTCCTCCGTCATCTGGGTGACAAGCTCCTTTACATTCAAGTCCCTTGGTCTGAAAGACTGGTTTCTGTGCTGCTGAATGAACCATGATGGATATTGGGTTTTTGATGACTTTGATGACAAGGCGGTGTGGGGAGACTACAACCAGAGAAACAGGTTACAAGGAACCCTTAGAAAGAAGAGCAGGCTTTGGACTCAGGTGGCTGGGCAGGAGGACAAGACAGCCCCGCAGGTCTGTAGAACGTGAAAGCCTTCCTTGGGGTCTCTCAGAAGCCCTGGAGGAAGGAACTTGATAGAAGAACTGGATGTCCTGTAATTATGGGGGTCTGTGATTGTGTAGGAATTAATGGGAAGGAAGACACCTGGATTGCTAAGGAATGTGGGAACACCCAGACTTCACTTCTAGCAGTGTAAGAAAAAAAATAGGCTGAGTGTGGTGGCTGATGCCTGTAATCTCAGCACTTTGGGAGGCGGAAGTGGGTGGATCACCTGAGGTCAGGAGTTCGAGACCAGCCTGGCCAACATGGCAAAACCCTGTCTCTACTAAAAAAATTAGCCAGATGTGGTGGCAGGCATCTGTAATCCCAACTGCTTGGGAGGCTGAGGCAGGAGAATCACTTGAGCCCAGGAGGTGGAGGTTGAAGTGAGCTGAGATCATGCCATTGCACTCCAGCCTGGGTGACAGACCTAGACTCCATCTCAAAAAAAAAAAAAAAAAAGAAGAAGAAGAAAAAAATGAAAACAACCTCCATGTCTGACAATTGAGGTTTGGTTAAAATAATATGTCCACCCAAAGCAAAACAAATGCAGCTTCCAAAATAATGCTGGAGAAAAATGTTTTGTGACCTGGTAAAGAGTCATTGTATTTTTTCAAGTGACTAGAAGCGTATCATAAACTATGTATCGTACCGCCCTGGCTAAAATGCATACCTGCACATGCAGAGCAAACGTCTTGATGGACATAGATGAACACACTAGGGGAGTTATCTCCAGGCAGTAGTGGAATTGTAGGCGATTTTTCTTTCTTCCCTTTGCTTATCTGCATTTCTTTTTTTCTTTTCTTTTTTTTTTTTTTTTTTTGAGACGGAGTTTCGTTCTTGTTACCCAGGCTGGAGTGCAATGGCGCGATCTCAGCTCACTGCAACCTCTGGCTCCTGGGTTCGGGCAATTCTCCTGCCTCAGCCTCCTGAGTAGCTGGGATTACAGGCATGTGCCACCACGCCCAGCTAATTTTTTGTATTTTTAGTAGAGACGGGGTTTCACCATGTTGACCAGGATGGTCTCGATCTCTTGACCTTGTGATCCACCCGCCTCGGCCTCCCAAAGTGCTGGGATTGCAGGCTTGAGCCACCGCGCCAGGCCCGCTTATATGCATTTCTTAAAGTTTATATAGGAAATATACTAATTTATATTAAGGGAAAGCAAGGTTACTAAATGTAACAAATAGGCACTAAAGACAGGCCTTTGTCTGGGCTCTACCCTCCTCCTGGAATGCCATTTCCACTCCCTGAGCCAACTCCCTTCTCGAAGCTCACCAAGACCGTTTCTTCTTCTGCACTGTGGCCCCTCCTCATAACTGCAGCCCATAACATCTCACTTTGAAAGTCCTTCCAGAGGCCAGTCATGGTGGCGTATGCCTATAATCCCAGCACTTTGGGAGGCCAAAGAGGGAGTATCGCCTGAGTCCAGGAGTTGAAAAGCAGCCTGGACAACATAGTGAGACACTGTCTCCATAAATAATAAAAAATTAGCCAGGTGTGGTGGCACGTGCCTGTAGTCCCAGGTACTCAGGTGCTTGAGGGAGGAGAATTGCTTGAGCCCAGGAGATGGAGGCTGCGGTGAGCTGTGACTGCACCACAGCACTCAGCCTGGGCAGCAGAGTGAGACTCTGTCCCAAAAAACAAACAAAGAAACCAAGTCCTTCCAGAACGTGCTGCCTGGCCCCCATTTTGGCATTGTCCACTATGATGCTTCAGTTGTGTTATGTGTTCAAGAATGGAAAGGAGGCTGGGTGCTGTGGCTCATGCCTGTGATTCCAGCACTTTGGGAGGCTGAGGTGGGAGAATCCCTTGAGGACAAAAGTTTGAGACCAGCCTAGCCAACATAATGAAACCTCATCTCTACTAAAAATATAAAAATTAGCTGGGCATGGTGGCTCACGCCTGTAATACCAGCACTTCGGGAGGCCAGGGCCAGCGGATCACGAGGTCAAGAGATCGAGACCATCCTGGCCAATATGGTGAAACCCCATCTCTACTAAAAATACAAAAAATTAGCCAGATGTGGTGGCACGCGCACCTGTAGTCCCAGCTTCTCAGAAGGCTGAGGCAGGAGAATCCCGAGAACCCGGGAGGTGGAGGTTGCAGTGAGCCAAGATCACACCTCTGCACTCCAGCCTGGGCGACAGAATGAGTGAGACTACATCTCAAAAACAAACAGGCCGGGTGCAGTGGCTCATGCCTGTAATCCCAGCACTTTGGGAGGCTGAGGCTGGTGGATTGCCTGAGCCCAGGAGTTCAAGACCAGCCTGGGTGACATGGCAAAACCCCTTCTCTACTGAAAATAAAAATAAAATTAAAAATAGCCAGGAGTGGTGGTGAGCACCTGTAATCCCAGTGACTCAGGAGGCTGAGGCACAACAATGGCTTGAACCCCGGAGGTGGAGGCTGCAGTGAGCTGAGATTGAGCCAGTGCACTCCAGCCTGGGCAGCAGAGCAAGACGATGTCTCTAAACAAACAAAATAATGGGAAGGAGAGATTTGGGTTGGAGTGGAGGTGAGACATGAGCACTGTCTTCAAATATTTGCGGGGCTATTGCATGGAGAAGACTCTAGACCCTTTTTTGGTAACTGCCTCTGAAAGGAAAACTGGGGTGTTCATGGGAGACATTAGGGAGGCCGTTTTTTAAATTTAAAGACATCGCTCTGGCTATGATGGTGTGGCTGCCTTGGGAGGCAGAAAGTTCTTGGCTGCTGGAGCTATTCACAACGAAGTTGCCTCCAGTGGTAGCGGTTCCCCAGATAACCTCGTTTTCTAAGCTCTATAACTGGACGGTGCTTGTCACGCATTCTGAGTACAATGAGCTCCTGGCTATTCCTCTGTCCCCTCCACATGGCTGAACCTAGAGCAGGTATCCAACATCCACTTACAGCATTGACCTTTAGCGCAGCAGGTTCGCCTTGCTGATTCTCAGACCCAGGAAAAGCATTTGCTTTCTGTCTGACAGATTTCTCCAGTGCACGCATGCGCTGTCCTGCCTTCAAGAATCCCTTTCCACCTCCACTTTCCTGTCTCACTCCGATGCATTCTTCAGACCTCTTCTCAAATTCACTTCTACCAGGAAGCCCTCCCTGTGTGAGCTGCTCTCTCGGTGGGGTTGGGAACACCAGCTCTGTGTTCCCAGCTCCTGGTGTGTATTGCATGGTGCTTTCCCGTTCCCCATGGAACTGACTACAGGGACAAGGCCTGGAGCTCACTGTCCTGGGTGTCTTAGTGTCTAGTGGGAGCTGGCACAGAGCAGGTAGGTACTTGGTAAGATTTGCTGAATGAATGAGTGTGCCAGAGAAAAATGACCAGGGCTTTAAGACTGTAGGGAACATCCCTAAGCTATAGAAAAAGCCCATTTTATAATGAAACACTCAGGAATGTGACCTGTTCCTGTAGCTTCTCTCAACACCCAGGAATGCCAGAAGCAGAAACATCAAAAGGCAGTAGGCCGTTTCCTGGAAGTCTTCGGGGAGTGTGGGGTGCTGTCGTCATGGCTGAGGACTCTGCAGGGGGAGAGTGATCATTCCTGGAGAACAGGAGCCGGAGAGCCCATCTCACTCCGAGGCCTGGGCTGTGTCAGTGAGGGACGTTGACTACACGGCCCAGGTCAGGAGCCTGGGTCTGGTCCCAACCTTGCACCTGACTCCAGGTGACTATGAATAGCTCTTGTCCCCTCTTGAGGCCTCAGTTTCCCAGTCTGTAAAGGAGGCTTGGTCTAGAAGTCTCCTAAGGACCTCTGCAGCTTGCGTGGCCTCTGCTATGTCACTTTGAGGTTGGAAACCTCCCCTGACATCCCAGAATTCCCTTCATGACTACTGTCATTCACAGGAACATAAATTCATTGTAGAATTTCCTGACTCTACTTATAATTTCAGCTCTCTCTTGGGAGCTTGAAGTTCCAGAAGCTTATAAGGCATGTACAAGGCCAGGCTTCTTCATAAAAACATTAAGAAGACCATGCGCCTCCAACCAGAATGGGGGAACACTTTCACAGGCCCCCTATGAGAAAAAGCCAGGAGAAGTGAATGGAACATGGACTTCGAGGAGACAGACCTGGTCTGAATTCTAGCTCTGCCACTTCCCTGCTGTGTGAGGGCCCCACAACTTCTTGCCCTCAGCTTCTTCATCTAGAAATGAAAATAAGTGTGTGCTCCTTGGCCTTGCTGGGTTGCTGTCTCTGGACAGTTTCTGAGAAGGAGATCTTATGCAGCAAGCATCCTCTGTTACCAGATGAGGAACCCAAGGACCAGTGAGGTCCCTTAAAGACCTTTGCAAAACCCTAGACTGCTGGTGTGCAGGTGTGGGCCATGAGGGCAATGCTAACATTCCTTTAGAAGTCTGAGGCTGGGCTGCAGTGGCTCACGCCTGTAATCCCAGCACTTTGGGAGGCTGAAGTGGGTGGATTACCTGAGGTCAGGAGTTTAAGACTAGTCACGCCAACATGGCGAAACCCCATCTGTACTAAAAATACAAAAATTAACGGCGTGGTGGTGGGTGCCTGTAATTCCAGCTACTCTGGTGGCTGAGGCAGGAGAATTGTTTGAACCCAGGAGGCAGAGGTTGCAGTGAGCCAAGATTGCGCCACTGCACTCCAGCCTGGCGCCTGGTGACAGAGCGAGACTGTTTCAAAAAGAAAAAAAGTTTGAGTTGACCGTTATTGCTGAGGCCCAGTTCTAGGGTTGGAGAAAGTAATGGTGTTGCATCCTGCAGGTTAGGCGTCCGGGCTGGGTTAGAGTTACTTAGAAGAAGGGGCTTTCATGATAGGGCCTGGAGCTCAGAGATGGGGGTGTGGAGGGTTTCAGGCTCCTGCTGGACTCTGGCTTCCCAGGTGGTCCATTGAGCACCCAGAGAAACAGGCTCAGAGTGGGGACACGCCTCACCCTGGAGGCACCACCGCCTAGAGGGGGCCTCCAGCCACACGCTGATGCGTTTGCCCACTCCTTGGGACCCCTGCCTTCTCCTCTTCATCCACTTAAAGAAGCAGTTAGGGTCAAAAGAGAAAAAAAGACTCAGCGTGAATAAAGCCATCACATCTCTGTGTCCTGTATTGTCACACGCCAAGGGTGTGGCTCCCAGGGCTGGAACCCAACCAGTATCTCTTGAGGAACTGACTCATGGAGCTGACTCATGCATTTAGATATAAATTCTAATCTGTTTTTCTAGAAAAAAAACACTCCCAACCCTCATTACTTCAGCCCCACTTTGTGCACACCAGAATGAGCTCAGGGAAGATGTCACAGGCAGCCATTGATCAAACCCAAATCACATGGGAAACAGTAAATTAGAGAATAATGAGTCCCAGCCTGAGTAGCACCAGTGCCCCTCAGAGCAAGATGCTGGGCAAGGTGAGGGAGGACAGGCGCCCACAGGCAACAGGAATTTGGGATTGGGATTGTACCATCGCATTCAAGATCTGCTGCAACCTTATACGTAAGTCAGCCACAGCTGTCCGCTTACTGACTCAAGTTCATACACCAGTTCACTCACTTATCCTTTCATTCACTTATTCAATCCCAAGCTTCCACTCTGTGCCAGGTGCTGGTGCCAAGAGGAAAAACAACTCCTGTCCTAAAGGAAGTTTTCAGGATGTCACGTCCATCGCCCCAGCCCCTTCCCTTTCCAGGCTCCCTGAACCGAGTTCAGGTAAGAGCAAGCCCAGCAGCTATGCCATATCACCACTGTCCAGGAGGTGGCAGCAGACCGGCCCAGAGAAGCCCGAAGGGTTGACAACCCAGCAGTGGGAGGAGGAGGGCGGGCGGGTTATCTGCAGAGGACGTCCTTCTCTGTTTTCTGGAAAGGACTAGATACCCGAAGCTGGCCACAAGGGAGCGTGATGGTGGGCGCTTGTAATCCTAGCTAGTTGGGAGGCTGAGGCAGGAGAATCATTTGAACCTGGGAGGTAGATTCACTGTCCCCTTGTCCTTGTGAATTAGCAAGGACATTTGGTTACAAGTAATAGAAGGCGAGCCGGGTGCGGTGGCTCAAGCCTGTAATCCCAGCACTTTGGGAGGCCGAGGCGGGTGGATCACCAGGTCAAGAGATCGAGACCATCCTGGTCAACATGGTGAAACCCCGTCTCTACTAAAAATACAAAAACTTAGCTGGGCATGGTGGCACGTGCCTGTAATCCCAGCTACTCAGGAGGCTGAGGCAGGAGAATTGCCTGAACCCAGGAGGCGGAGGTTGCGGTGAGCCGAGATCGCGCCATTGCACTCCAGCCTGGGTAACAAGAGCAAACTCCGTCTCAAAAAACAAACAAACAAACAAAAAACAAGTAATAGAAGGCCCTGGCTTAAATGCTGGGGGAGGAAATATAATTTCTCAACCCTCAAATGTTTATAGTAGGGACAGATCCCCCTGTAACAAAAGACAGATTAGCAAGAGAAAAACAAGCAACTCTATAACACGTACGGCTCAGATCATGAGGGAGAAACCTCAAAGAAAGCTGACGGAGCAGTGGCTTAGGACTCTGACTTAGACAGCATCTTCAATAAAGAACAATAAATTTTAGGTCGGGTGCAGTGGCTCACGTCTGTAATCCCAGCATTTAGGCCGAGGCGGGCAGATCACTTGGTCAGGAGTTCGAGACCACCCTGACCAACGTGGTGAAACCTAGTCTCTTCTAAAAATACAAAAATTAGCTGGGCGTGCAGCTACTTGGGAGGCTGAGGCAGGAGAATTGCTTGAACCTGGGAGGCAGAGGTTGCTCTGAGCCAAGATCATGCCGCTGTACTCCAGCCTGGGTGACAGAGCAAGACTTATCTCAAAACAACAATAATAACAAAGTTGGCAGGGCATGGTAGCTCACACCCCAGCTTCTTGGGCGGCTGAGGTACGAGAATCACTTGGCCTGGGAAGTGGAGGTTGCAGTGAGCTGAGATCATGCCACTGCACTCTAGCTTGGGTGACAGAGAAAGAAAGAGACTCTATCTAGCAAAAAAGAATTTTAAAAGTGGGATGAAGCTGAGGCCTGGGGCGCGGCTGCACCTGGAGGAGGGGCCGGAAGCAGGGGTTACCGTTTCCCGTCTCGGCAGCCCATGTGGCAGTGGCTGCTTTCTTGTCTTGTCCCAGGACTTTCCTGTTCCTCAGACTGGGAAATGGGCCATAGCAGGTTGGAAGGTACCTGCTCCAGGCGGAGCCAGCCAGGGAGACTACTGAATTCCAGGGAGAGGGACTTGGTGGATCTGCTAGGCTTGGGTCTGGCGCCTGCCCTGGCACCAGTAAGTGTTGACAACTGCGGGGACAATGCTAGTCACCAGGTGGCCTTGAGAGAATCACTGGAAACTGGGAGACCCTCGATAACACAGGGCCACTGGAATGAGTTTGGGTGTGCAAGGCTAGGCACACAGAGGCTGTTTCTATACCCTTCCATGGACCACAGTTGCAGTTGGGTGACCTGTCAGCTCCAGCCTCACCGCAACAAGGGATATTGGTTGGAAACCCTGCCCTCAGCCCCATGGCATTCCCCTTTCTTGTGCAGTCAGCTTGATGGATTCCAGCTGCAAGTACCTGCAACTCTGCCTCGGGGAACAGCCTCCACATTGGACTGATGAGAGGGAGTAGCTAGAGTCCCTGGCTCCCGCCCCTCGCAGGGGGATCAAACCTGAAGTGCATCCGACGTGGAATTCCAGAGCTCTCCAGGGGCACTGAGGTCCAGCCGCCCACACCAGGGACCTGTTGATGACACACTTTGCTGGGGCTACCGCCCCCAACCCCCGCCCCATCTGGCCTCCATAGTGCCCTCCTGGCGTTACCTGGATCCCTGCTCTGCTTTCTAGATTTCTACCTTTTCTCTGGGTTTGCTTCTGGGGACTCAACTCAAGACCCTTGCCATCTTAACAGCTAGGTTTCCCAGAGGAGCGGTGAGGAACTTTTAAGAGACAAGAGCATAGGCCAGGCACGGTCACTCACACCTGTAATCCCAACCAACACTTCAGGAGGCCACGGCGGGAAGGATCGCTTGAGCCCAGGAGTTTGAGACCAGCCTGGGCAACATAGGGAGATTTCCATCTCTACAGAAATAAAAAAAATTAACCAGGCTTGGTGGCACATGTGCGCACGACAGAGCGAGATCCGGTCTCAAAAAAAGATAAGCACATACACTTTTCCATTCAATTATCCCTTTTTCTCTAAAAATAGAGCTCTTTATTTAAACAATTTAGGGTAATACCAGCAAGCATTAGGATATCATTTAAATAGCATATAAACACAGAAAAATAGAAATAAATACAAATACGTAAGAACAGCCTACACTGCTCATCCTAAATTTACACCGGATGTCCCTCCAGTGCGGGCCCAGCCCACACCACGCAGCTGCGACCTGCTGTGCACGTGAGAGAGCTTTGTAACAGTTCCGTGCTGAGCACTCAAGGGGGAAGGTATTATACTGATTCTCATGTCCTTTCCTAATGCTTCTCATGGCTTTTTGTGAATGACTTAATGACGATAAAGGAGATGGAGTTGACAGTTACTAGAAAGCTCAAGCTATGGCAGAAAGTAAACTCTGGAAATAATTCTTTAAAAAAAAAATAGTAAGGTTTGGTCGGGCGCGGTGGCTCACACCTGTAGTCCCAGCACTTCGGGAGGCCGAGGTGGGCGGATTGCCTGAGGTCAGGAGTTCGAGACCAGACTGGCCAACATGGTAAAACCCTGTCTCCACTAAAAATACAAAAAAAATTAGCCAGGTGTGATGATGGGCACCTGTAATCACAGCTACTTGGGAGGCTGAGGCAGGAGAATCACTTGAATCCAGGAAGCGGAGGTTGCAGTGAGCAGAGACCATGCCACTGCACTCCAGCCTGGGTAACAAGAACAAAACTCTGACTTAAAAAAACAAACAAATAGTAAGGTTTAAGAATAGAAACAGAGCGGTTATTTCATACAAGCCTAAGATGATGCTGATGATAGCTTTTACTTTTTTGAAATTACCTCCATGAAGTGGCTTGGCTGGATTCCAAAGAGAACATCATTACAGGTCTGGGAATTTCCCTGGGAGCTGGCCCTGAGCCACAGCCATCCCCAGCTCCGTGGTTGGTTTGTTTTTCCACTCCTGGGCTCAATGATGTGGACAAGCCTCACTGCAGGGAAAACCCCTGGGGAGACAGATGTGTGTGTGTCTGTCCATCTGTCCGTCACAGCAGTGGTGAAGGCCTTCTGACCCTTAGAAATTGTGGCTGTGACCTTCATATTTTGTTGACGTGGCCAAGGGGTCAGAGGTTGGCCTGGCTGTGCAGAGATCGAAGCTCTCTCCCTCGGAGATGTGCACAATAAGTCATCAGAGCAGCACTGCTGGGTGACCTTGGGTAAGTGCCTTTGCCACTCTTGATCTCAGCTCCTTTGAAACACGATAGGTGTTTGATTCAAAAAGTGGTTTGCTAACTGTTTTTTGGTCAGTGGAACCTCTCTAAACAAAACCTGATGTGGAAAGCCACAGTATGTAAATCAGGGCACAGTGAGGCTGCTCTGGTGAAAGTGCGAGGCTCCTAGAACCCCCGTAGCACCCCCTGCAACTGCCACCAAGGCCTTTGGGGGACATGGTTTGAGAACCCCTGGATAAGATGCCCTAAGAAGCTTTTCCAGTTCTGCCATTTAATGCTGTACTCTTGTGGCGGCTTTAAAACAACACAGCTCTGTGGCTTCAGTGGCTTCAGATCCCTTCTTCACAAATCCAGAGACGGTGGTCCTGGCAGGTTGAAAGGCCACAGAGCCAGGGTCGTTCAGATTCCCCACCACAAAACACTTTGGTCCTAAGGGTGAAAACGCAGCTATGCTCGTTTGTATTCAGGTGGGTGTAGGTTAGCTGAGGATGCATCACCACCCTCAGGTAAGGATAGTTAACTGAGGGTGGTGGTGCAACCAATAGAAGGCATTGGTTTCTTTTCTTTTCTTTTTTTTTTTTTTAAGAAAGAGAGAAAGAAAAGAAAAAAAAGAGGAAAAAAAAAAAAAGAATAAAGAAGAGGGAGAAAGAGAAAAAGGAAGAGGGAGAACGGGCGTGTTGCTTTATTGCCCGGGCTAGAATACAGTCTAAAAATGGGTATGCCTATAATTGTGCTTAATAATGGAGACATGAATAAATGAGGGAAGAAAATAACAAACAAGCAGCCAACCAATATTTCATTTAAACCTGTAAGTAGGTGTGATGTGGTGCTGATAAGAGTGTATATGTTGTGTATTTAAAGTGGAGAGTTCTGTAAGTGTTAATTAAGTCTACTTGTTCCAGATCTGAGTTCAAGTCCTGGATATCGTTGTTAACTTTCTGTCTCATTGATCTGTCTAATATTGATGTTGAAGTCTCCCACTATTATTGTGTGGGAGTCCAAGTCTCTTTATAAGTCTTATGTATTTGGGTATTCGTGCATTGGGTGCGTATATATTTAGGATCTTTAGCTCTTCTTGTTGCATTGATCCTTTTATCATTATATACTGTCTTTCTTTGCTTCTTTGATCTTTGTTGCTTTAAAGACTATTTTATCAGAGGTAAAAATTGCAACTCCTGCTTTTTGTTTATTTATTTATTTTTGCTCTCCATTTGGTTGGTAAATCTTTCTCCATCCCTTTATTTTGAGACTTTGTGTATCCTTGCCTGTGAGATGGATCTGGATGCAGCATACCGATGGGTCTTGGCTTTTTATCCATTTTGCCTGCCTGTGTCTTTGGATTGGGGGATTTAGTCAATTTAAATAATAATAATATATGTCAGTTTAATACTGTCGTTTAATGTTAGCTGGCTGTTTTGCCCTTTAGTTGATATAAATTCTTCATTATGTTGATGCTCTTTACTTTTTGGTATTTTTTAGAAAGGCCGATACTGGTTGTTCCTTTCATATGTGTAGTGATTCTTTCAGAAGCTCTTGTAAAGCAGGCCTGGTGGTGATGAAATCTCTAAGTGCTTGCTTGTTCACAAAATATTTTATTTTTCCTTCACTTATGAAGCTTAGTTTGGCTGGATGTGAAATTCTGGGTTGAAAGTTATTTTCTTTAAGGATGTTGAATATTGGTCCCCACTCTCTTCTGGCTTGTAGGGTTTCTGCTGGGAGATCTGCTGTGAGTCTGATAGGCTTCCCTTTGTGGGTAGCCTGACCTTTCTCTCTGGCTGCCCTTAGTATTTTCTCCTTCATTTCAACCCTGGTGAATCTGACAATTATGTGCCTTGAGGTTGGTCTTCTTGAGGAATATCTTTGTGGTGTTCTCTGTATTACCTGGAGTTGAATATTGTCCTGCTTTGCTGGGTTGGGAAAATTTTCCTGAATAATATCCTGAAGTGTATTTTCCAGCTTGGATTCATTCTCTTTGTCACATTCAGGTACACCTAGCAAACGTAGATTAGGTCTTTTCACATAGTCCAATATTCCTTGGAGACTTTGCTCATTCCTTTTTATCCTTTTTTCTCTAATCTTGTCTTCTTGTTTCATTTCACTGAGTTGGTCTTCGACCTCTGATATCCTTTCTTCTGCTTGATCAAGTTTGGCTGTTAAAACTTGTGCATACTTCGTGAAGTTCTCATATTGTATTTTTCAGCTCCATCAATTCACTTATATTCCTCTCTAAATTGTGTATGCTTGTTAACATTTCGTCAACCTTTTTTTCAAAGTTCTTAGTTTCCTTGCATTGGGTTAGAACAAGTTCTTTTAATTCCCAGAAGTTTCTTATCATCCACCTTTTGAAGCCTGCTTCTGTTAATGGAACACACTCGTTCTCCATCAGGCCTTGTTACGTTGCTGATGAGGAACTGTGATTCCCTGTAGAGAGAGAGGCATTCTGATTTTGGGTATCAGCCTTTTTAGGCTGGTTTCTTCCCTTCGTTTTAGATTTATCCATCTGTGGTCTTTATAATTACCGTCTTTATAGTTGGGTTTCTGAGTGGACGTCCAACTTGCTGATTCCCAGCGCTAAAATCTGAGCAACCCACTGCGCTGGCCAAAACAGCGGTGTTAGAGTGATGGTGCTTTTCTAACTCTGCACCAAGAACCGACGCTCCGAGGCAGCGGCAAAACTGCCTCGCCGGCCACAAGAGTCGTGCTGGCGACCCGTGGGGCTCCTCTGCTGGGAATCTCCTGGTGTGTGAGCAACAAGAATTCATCTGAAAGTGTGGCATCCTCTCGTTCTCTGTGCTTTCACTGGGAGCTACAATCCCGACCTGCTAGAGATCAGCCATCTTGGATCTCTCTCGAAGGCACTGATTTCTTATAAGGAGAATGAGACTTCTTAGGATCGCAATAGTCGACCAAGGGTCTAAAGTGCTGTCCAAACAGGGCTTATGGGCCTAGAAGTTCGATTCCTGCCATGTTACTGTCCTGCTCCAACAAACTGGATCCCTAGAAGGTAGAGCACTTGGTTCCTTCCCTGGGAAGCAGGGTTCCCATTGCTGGGTAATGGCAGAGAGACCAGGGTCCCCTTGGGTGGGGCTCTGGCTTCTGAGAGCTTGATCTCCTGGCAGGGAGGCAGTGAGGGTAGAAGGAAGGCAGTAGATGGGGGATGAGACAAGCCGAACAGTGAGTGCTGTCTGTCACTCTGGGTTTAGGGGCCACAGGTGGGAGATGCCCAGGGGTCTCCTGGAGCCTGGATGGATGGAGAATTTTACCAGCCACCACAGAGAGAGCACCAAGGACACAGGGGGCTCCGTGCTACACACATCTGAGATCCCCTAGAACCCTCACCACACCCAGGTGTAGCTGCAGATGAGGAAGCCGAGGTAGAGAAGGAAGGTGGCTTCCCCAAGATCAACAATCAGTGAACAGCAGAGCTGGGATTTGAACCCCGGTCTGACACTGAAAACCATACAATGCCATGACTCCAAAGACCGGGATTTGAGGACAGCCACCTTTCCCTTTCCATCCAAAACCCTCGGCCAACTGATTTTAATCTGGGCCTAACCTAGGGGACCCATGAATCAAGAGGCTGAGCCCTGGGGTGGGGGAGCTCAGTGGCTGCTGGGAAAGGCATGAGGTATAGCGGGTGTGCTTCCAGAGGTCCCCAGTTCCAGAGGGCCCCTTGCTGGTGTCCGCCCTTGATGTCTGCTGTGACCTGACCTCACCTGTTTCGTGCTGTCCTGGGTTAATTTTTCTACCTGGCCTGTCACCCCACCAACCTCTGACCTCAGCCCACCCTGTATCCACCCCTCTTGTAGCTCTGCCTGAAGCGGTGGGTCACAGGAGGGAGGGGCCTCTTACTGCTGAGCCTGGCAGACAAACCGCTGCTAGGTGGACGTCCTGGAAATGCAATGCCCCTCCGCCCTCTAGGGGTAGTATGGAGGCTTTCAAGTTTCTTGGGAAGCCCAGTAGTCCTCAAAAAGGCAGTGGCGTCAGAGTCGGTGGAAGCGGGGCGGGGGGACAGCTCACCTGGCCATGTAATGCCCCAGTGGCCTCTCCTCAGTCCTCTGGGTGCTCTCAGCCCCCCAGCTGCCCGGACCGTTGTCCTCAAGTTCTGATTCCCTCGCCTCCTCCTCTTCCTCTTCCTCCTCAGGGCTGCTGTCCCAGCAGACGGTCAGTGTCCGAAGAGAAACTGGGAGCTCCCCAGAGACCAGATTGGACACTGGTGGTAAGGTGCCCCAGGTGGCCCAGGAGGAGAGGTCGTCTTTTGGGAGCTCTTCCAGGAAACCCGAGTCCTTGGAGAATTCGAGCGATGGGAGAGGCGCTTGGTGCCCGTCTCCACTTGACCCTTGGCCTGGCCCCTTCTCAGACAAATAGCCAGAGGACCCAGCCCTGTCCCATGAGGAGTCCATAACGCTGGCCCAGCTTCCGTCTGAAGAATCCCAAGCAGAAGAGCCTTCGCCTGGGTCCAGAGGAGCCCTGGGCCTCCCTGAGTCCACCTCACCTGCCTCTGAGTGCTCTGGAACCTGGTGCTGTTGCCCCAGGAAAGAGGGTGGTTCAATGTAGGGCTGGAAGCTGACGCCATCTTCCGTGTCCTCCTCCTCTTCCTCCTCATCTTCCCCAAGTACCTTTGTCTGTCCTGCCTGCTGGGTGGCTGGGGCCCTGACTCTACGCGTGGGCCTGACCCCCCTGGTCCGTTCCTTTTGGGGACAGAGGAGCAAGTCATTCAGGGATTCTGGTCTGCTGCGCTGAAAGGTTGCCACAGGGTGTGTGTGTCCAGAAAAGTCCTGATTTGGGGAGGGGAGAGAAGAGCAGAAAATTTAGGCTTTCCTTCCTGAAGCACGATTATCTTCATTTAAATTTCCCTAGAAACAGACCTGAGAAAAGGATTCAAGTGTAAGTAGTTTCTTTGAGAGGTGATCCCAGGATGCACCAGATGGGAGTGCGGGGGCTGGGGGGGGGCAGCCCTAGGGCTCCTGGCACTTAATCCTGCTGGGACTCGGAACCACAGGGGCAGACGCACCTCAGAGCGATCCCACGAGGGGGGTGCTCCTGGGCTATTTACCCACAGCCCCTGTCCGTCATTGCTGAGGGATGGAAGAGCTGGTGGCAGTGTTAATTCTCTGCCACTTAATGCCTGCCATGTGCAGGGGCAGTGTGGGCTCCAGAGGCCAGAGAAAGCCCACTGGGTGCAGGTGTTGGGGGCTGCCAGTCCAGCGGATGTGCTTGTAACAGGAAGGCTGAGGGCACGGGGCAGGGCACAGATACTTCTACCCGAGCCTGTCATCTCGGCAGTTAGTGGGGTTCTCCCACAGGCCCTGGAGCCGGGAAATGTGGAAATGCTCCCCTTGCCACCCTGCCATGATGCAGGGACACTCAGAACCCATCTTCAAAGTCCCCATGCCCATCAGAGCCTTGCCTATGCCCAAGCTGTACCTGCCAGCCCTCATCTGAACAGGGCCAACCCATATCACCTCTGGGGATTCCCCTGCCCCAGCAGGCCCCTAGATTGTAAGGGAGAGACCCAGCCGAGCAGGGAGGAAGCGCCAGGGTCAGACAGGCACAGCTCATTCTGGGATAAACTGTGAACTAAAAATTGGGACCCTTTTAAGACATCCCCTTTGGTGCCCCCTCTCCTCCTCCCCTCTGGTTATCTCTTCTGAGGCCCAAGGCTGGGGGCTGTGCTCCCAGCACCTGACACGTCCCAGTAGAGGTGAAGTTATTTATCTTAAGGAACTTAAGGCACTCCTCCCTCCTGGGCCTATTTGCTGTTTTATTCAGGACTAAACGCATGCATTACTATTGGTGAAAATTCAGACACAAAGATAGATATTTTGGTCCAAGAGTCTGGACCATCTTGATATTCTATCTGAATAACTCATAGCTCCAGCCCCAGCCCCTTACTCTCAGCCCCTCCCCACCTGCTGCACACCCCCAGATTTGCTATACCAGGGCACGTGGCATCTTAGCCCGCTGAAACCAGGGATTCCCCATGAGGCTCTTCCAGATCACACCCCCTGTGGCAATTGCTAACAGCAGTAGCAGAAGTGATGGCAGCACCAGAAAAACCCAGTTGGTTTCTAAGGAAGGAAAAATAATAATGAGAGAAAGAACAATGGCTCTTGCCTACAACTGCATATGTGCTGAGTGCTTCGCGTTCATTACCGTATTTAATCCTCACAAGAATAAACCCATTCTACAGATTGTGCAAACAAAGGCTCGGGGCATTATGTAAGCCTCCCAAAGACACAGAATGAGTGTGGTTTTAATCCAGGTGAGTGTGTCTCTAGGCTCATGCTCGTAACCGTGGTGTCACGAAGCTTCCAAGGTCCAGAGGGAAAGTTCCCACTTCCACACCACTTAGTACCTACCTGGGACCTCCAGCAAGAAGCAGGTGGGCTGAGAGAACTCGCTGTATTTTGGGACACTGAAGGTGTAGATGGTTCTGGCACTTAGGCAGTGGCATTCACTGGCGGCTAGCTGGAGGGTGATCTGGACTGGCTGGCCATGGGGAGTGACTGGAAATAGGGTCTGTTTGGAAAAGACGCAGAGAGTGGCAGAATTGCTGTGGGGATTGGTTTCACAGCCAGGAGAGAGTGGGGTTGGCAGACATGGTAGTGTTTCTTTTTCTTTTCTTTTCTTTTTTTTTAGGCAATAGGGTCTGGCCCTGTTACCCAGGGCAAAGTGCAGTGGTGTGATCACAGCTCACTGCAGCCTCAAACTCCTGGGCTCTAGCGATCCTCCCACCTCAGTCCAAGTAGCTAGGGACTACAGGTTCACACCACCATACCTGGGTAATTTTTATTTAATTATTTTTTTTTGAGATAGAGTTTTGCCCTTGTTGCCCAGTCTGGAGTACAGTGGCGCAATCTTGGCTAACCACAATCTCTGCCTCCTGGGTTTGAGTGATTCTCCTGCTCCAGACTCCCGAGTAGCTGGGATTACAGGCATATGCCACCATGCCCAGCTAATTTTGTATTTTTAATAGAGATAGGTCTTCTCCATGTTGGTCAGGCTGGTCTTGAACTCTTGACCTCAGGTGATCCACCCGCCTTGGCCTCCCAGAGTGTTGGGATTACAGGCACTGTGCCACTGTGCCTGGATAATTTTTTAAAATTATTTTTGGTATAGGCAAGGTCTTGCTGTTGCCCAGGCTAGTCTTGAACTCCTGGCCTTAAGTGATCCTCCCTCCATGCCTGAACCTTCTATTCTTTTCCTGCATTAAAGTTTAAGCATTGAGGAAGCACCTCCCAACACTACCTGAGTTCTTTTCAGCTGATTCTCCAGGTAGGGATAGCCATGGTTGAAAAGCAGCCTGCTACTTGGGGTCACCCTGGCGTGCACCCCATTAGGGTCTGCCTGCGGGTCCCTACTTTGAGAAGCAGATTCCCTGGGCCTCCCATCTTGGGGTCTCCCAGTCTATCAGGAGTAGAGGAAACCTCTACAAATACTGCACCACTTGGTACAGAAGGCGCTGGCCACGTGTGGCTGCTGAGCTTGTGAAATGCATCTGGTCCACACTGAGAGGTGTTCCAAATACAAAACACACATCAGATTTCAAAGACACAGGGAAAAAGAACGTGAACGATCTCAATCATTCTTATCAGGATTGCACATTGAAATGATGCCATTCTATTGGATGAAGTAAAATCTGTTATTAAAATTTGATTTACCTGTCTCCTTTTACTTAATTTAACATGGAACACTTAAAACTGCACATGTGGCTTGCATTGTATTTCTTTCTATTGGTCAGTGCTGGTCTGGAGTATTTGTGAGGTTCTTGAAGGCAAGAACCACACTGGATTGAGATCTATATTCCCTGGAATCCGGAGGATGCAGGGGATCAGGAGTGTGAACACTGCCTTAGTGGAGGCAGGAATAAACTGGAGCAAGGGGCTGTGGACCAAATCTGGCTGGCCATTTGTTTATGTAAAAACGTTTATTTTTTATTTTTTTGAGACAAGGTCTCTCTCTGCTGCCCAGGCTGAACTGAAGTGCAGGGGTGTGATTATGGCTCACTGTAGCCTCTACTTCCTGGGCTCAAGAGATCCTCCTGCCTCAGCATCCCAAGTAGCTGGGACCACAAGCATTCTTCACCATCCTCTGCTTTTTTTTTTCCCCAAGTTTTTTTTAAGAGATGGTGTTTCACCATGTTGCCCAGGCTGCTCTTGAACTCCTGGACTAAGGTAAGCCTCCCACTGCAGTCTTCCAGAGTACTGGGATTACAGGCGTGAGCCACCGCACCTGGCCTGTAAACAGTTTTACTGGAACCCAGCGATGCCCATCCATTTACCGATGGCTACAGCTCCTTTTGTGCTATAACTGCAGCGTTGAGTCATCCTGAGAGAACCTAAGACCCACAAAGCCAAAAATATCCACTATCTGGTCTTCTTTGGGCAAGTTTGCCAGCCCTTGCTGTAAATAAATATAGATATACACGCATGCACACACAAAAAACAAATCTGAAACTGGATAAGCAGCGGAGCGATGTGTGGTCATCCCTGGGTACTTCTGGTTTGCTTCTTAGAGCTTATCTGTATTTTTTAGTTTTTCTCTACTGAATCTGTTGACTTGGCAAGCAGGCCTCTCGTAGGTCATCATACTTTGATCAGATTTTATTAGAAGAAAAAAAGGAAAGGTTAATGATTTTTTTTTAAATGGCCAGGTGCGGTGGCTCATGCCTGTAATCCCAGCACTTTGGGAGGCCAAGAAGGGCAGATCACTTGAGGTCGGCAGTTCAAGACCAGCCTGACCAACATGGTGAAACGCTGTTTCTACTAAAAATACAAAAATTAGCCTGGCATGGTGGTGCGTGCCTGTAATCCCAGCTACTCAGGAGGCTGAGGCAGGAGAATCACTTGAACCCGGAAGGCGGAGGTTGCAGTGAGCCGAGATCATGCCCCTGTACTCCAGCCTGGGCGACAGAGTAAGACTCCATCTCAAAATGATAACAATAATAATAATTTTTAAAACTATTCAGTAGCAAACTGCTGTGTTCTTGGCCTCTGTACTGTGCTGAGGCAGGATGCTCTCCCTGTTCTTAGTTTCTTCGGGGGACAAATGCAGGTGAGCCACAGGCCAGTCACACTGTGCACAAGTCAAGGGCTGACTGCCAGGAGTCAGGGGTGTACAGGGAAGGCTTCCTGGAGGAGGCGTGCAGGAGCAGGCTGGGAGGGTGAGGAGAACCTGAGTGTGAAGCATTGGAGGAGGGGGCCTAGCCTGGGGGCAGGAAAGGAGCTTCCTACCTTGTTTCCGGCCTCCTTCCAGAATGCCACCTCGTACTTCAGATCCAGTGGGGGCATGCAGGGGGGCAGCTGGTAGGTGGCATTGACACTCAGGATCTCCTCTGTCTGGTTGAGCACCAGGAGAGGTGGGGCCGGCTCCACTGCAGAAACAGAGCAGCGCCCATCAGTAATCCCGAGGGGCCACGCTGCCTCCATCCCCCAGACCGGAGAGCTCTCTTGGAAATGGAAAAGCAACCAGCATGTCCAAACACTTCCTGTGCACCTAGCACCTTATAATCTGTTATTTCAGACTTGCACTGACCCTGGGAGGGAGGTATCATCACTATTCTCATTTCATAGAGGGGAAAACTGAGTTTTAGAGAGGAGAGGTGACCCGGGCAGGCTCATCAGTGACCCGGCTTCACTCATGCCATCGCTTCCACCTGGATGCCCTCCACATGTCACTGGCCTGGCAGATCCTGCCCATCTGGGTACATTTCCTATTGCTGCCATGACAAATTACCATACACGCTGTAGCTTAAAAACCATACAGACTTAGGATCTCACAGTTCTCTAGGTCAGAAGGTCAGAATTCCAGGGGGGCTCGGCTGGTTCCTCTGCTCTGGGTCTCACATCTGGAACCACTGGGGGAGAAGACACTTCCAAGCTCCCTTGGGTTGTCAGCAAAACTTAGTTCTCTGTGGCTGTAGAGCTGTGGTCACTGTTTCCTGGCTGGTTGTTAGTGGGAGCCTCTCAGCTCTGGAAGGCACCTGCATTTCTCATCACATTGCCCTTCCATCGTCAAACCAGAAAAGGCACCATGGCCTGGCACTTTTCTTCTGCCTCCAGCTGGAGAAAGTTTCAAGGGCTCATGGGATTAGACTGGGCCCATCTGGATTACCCAGGATAACCTCACTATTTGAAGATCTATGTCTCAGTCCATTTTGTGTTGCTATTACAGACTATCACACACTGGGTAACTTATAATGAATGGAAATGTATTTGGCTCGTGGTTCTGGATATTTGGAAGTCCAAACACATGGCACCGGCATCTGGCGAGGGCCTTTATGCTGGCCTTCCCAAGGTGGAAGGTGGAGGGCAAGAGAGGGGGACAGTGAGCCAGGAAGAGAGGGCAGAACTCACTTTTCTTTTCTTTTCTTTTTTTTTGAGACAGAGTCTTGCTCTGTCACCCAGGCTGGAGTGCAATGGGGCAATACTGGCTCACTGCAACCTCTGCCTCCTGGATTCAGGAGATGCTTCTGCTTCAGCCTCCCGAGTAGCTGGGATCACAGGCATGCACCACCACTTGTGGATAATTTTTGTATTTTTTAGTAGAGACAGGGTTTTACCACATTGGCCGGGCTGGTCTCAAACTAATGACTTCAAGAGACCCACCAGCCTCGGCACCCCAACATGCTAGGATTATGGGCATGAGCCACTGCACCTGGCCAGAATTCACTTTTCTAACAATCCATTCTTGATAAACACACTCCCGCAAGACTGACATTAATCTGTTCATGGGGGCAGAGCTCTTAAGGACTAAGTCACCTTTTAATAGTGCTGCTTCTGAATGCAATCACAATGTTGATTAAATGTCAATATGAGTTTTCAGGGGACATTCAAACCATAGCAGTCTATAACCTTAATTAAGATTCCCTATTGCCATGCAATACTGACATCTGACGTATTCTCAGCTGCCAGGGACTAGGGCAGAGCACTTTTAGAGGCTCATTCTGCCTACCATAGTCCTCCCCCTGCCCCCCACCCCAAATCCATATCTCTTTCAAATGCAAAACCCATTCCCTCCATCCCAATGTCCCCCACGATCTCATTTCCTTATGGTATCAACTCAAATTCCCAAATCAACAGTATTTAAATCAGAGTCAAATAGACCCGGGGCATCGTCCGACAGTATAACTCCTGGGGCACAGTTTCTCTCCATCTGTGGGCCAGCAAAACTGCAGTTATCTGCTCCCAACCATAAAATGTGGGACAGGCACAGGACAGGCAGTTCCAGATAATCTGGTTCAAGCATGGGGAAATGGAAGGGACAATAAAGTCATGTTCCAACGCAGCTTGAAAATCCAGCCAAGAAAACTCCATTAGGTTTCAAGGCCCGGGAATAATTCTCTTTGGCTCTTAGCACTGCCCTCTAAACTTCCGGTTTCACTGTCTGAGTCATACTTCCTTTTTGCTAAAGGTAGCAGGTATTTGCATTTAAGTAGTTTTGCCAGTGTGCATTTCACCAGTAGAAACTGGACAGTCCAACAGCCTCCTTCGATTTCATACCTTCTGTGTTCCATTTAGCCCAAGATAACAGTGTTTCTGTGGATGTAAAGTTCTCAGGAACTTTATGGGTCTCCTATGAATGTCATGGGGGAATCCACTGCATTACTAGATAAATCCAGGTCCACAAATCTTTTTTTTTCAGATAAACCTTCTCTACTTTGGCTCCAGCTGACATGGCTGAGGGACAATGCTCTTCAGCTTCCTAGAAATCCCCTGGTTTGATTTAACGACACTGTGAGTTATACACTTAATCTCTTCACAGAGCCTTCTAAGTGACTGAGTACTTTGATCTTTTATCTTCCTGAGGTTTGGCTGTTTCTCTATGTCACACTTTTGGGAGCAATTTTTGTGTTTTATTGAGGTGGAGTCTTGCTCTGTCACCCAGGCTGGAGTGTAGTTGCGTGATCTTGGCTCACTGCAACCTCTGCCTGTTGGGTTCAAGTGATCCTCCTGCCTCAGCCTCCCGAGAAGCTGGGATTACCAGTGCCCACCACCACACCCAGCTAATTTTTGTATTTTTAGTAGAGGCAGGGTTTCACCGCATTGGCCAGGCTAGTCTCAAACTCCCGACCTCAGGTGGTCTGCCCAACTTGGCCTCCCAAATCGCTGGGATTACAGGCATGAGCCACCATACTTGGCTACACTCTTTTAATTTTATTGTTTTTTTTTTTTGCATATGTTGAGAACTTCAGAAATCCTCAAGTCCTAGTTCCTTTCTGTTTAAATTCTTCCCTCATTTTCTCTCTCTCCTCTTGCATTTTACTGTAAGTGGCAGGAAGAAACCAGGCTTTGCCTTCCACATTTTATTTGGAAACCTCCTCCGATAAGCACTCAAGTTCATCATGTATGAGCTCTGCTTCCCACATGACTGCAGGACACAGTTCTGCTAAGCTTTCTGCCAATACGGAACAAGTGTCTCCCTTCCTCGAGTTTTCAATACTGTGTTCCTTACCTTGTGAAGCAATGCCTTGAGTATCGGTGTGTCTACTAACAGGCTCTTCACGATGATTGAGGTAATCTCGGAGGGGATTTAGCTTTTCTCTATAATGCTGCTTGTTTCTTTCTGCACCCTGAGTCTTTAACTTCCATATTCCTACCGACAGTGTGTTGAGGGCCCTCTAGCCTTGCCCAATGGTTTAAAGATGGAGAGGGCAATGTGCCAAGGGATATGGCAGCCAGAGAAAACTAATACACCATCCTTCAAGTTCTAACTGAAATACCACTTCTTCCATGCAGCCTTCCCTGATTCCCAGGCAGCAGGGATCTCTGACAACACTAGTCACCTCTGTCCTCTGTTTGTGGTCAAGGTAAACACATGGCTTCCTCACAATGCCATTACTTACATGTTTAGGTAACATCTGCTGGGTACTGACCAGGTATCAAGCTTTGGGAAGGGAGCTGATGGGAATGGGGAGACGAGGCCTCCTTGGAGGTCAGGATAAGCTTTGGGGTAAATGAAATATGCAAACTACCATAAGAAAGTGACCAAGGCCACAAGGTGAGAGCAAGAAAAGTGTGGAAGGAGTGCAAAGGCAGGAAGAGTCACCCTGGCTTGGGATACGGGGCTGAAGAATCAGGAGAAATTCAGGGAGGAGGCAACAATTAAAACCTTTTAAATCTCTTTGTGTCTTTCCCTTTATTCTTCTAATGTCTTATTCCTAGCCATTCAATTACTGTGGTTTGTCCACCATACTTCTAGCCAGACAGCCTTCCTGTCTGCCTTCTCATCCTTCCTTTCCTTCCCGTCCGTCCATCCATCCGTCCATCCATCCATCCGTCCGTCCCTTCCTTTCCCCTCATTCACCCTTTCTAGCCAATATTTTTTCCTTCCTGTGCCTCATTTCTAATTATTCATCTAAACTTCCTCCCTTTTATCTAGCAGGTCAGCCTTCTTAGCTACTCTCCATTCTTCCCATCCATCCATTCTTCTTTTTTATCTTTCGACATATCCTTCCTTCTTGTCTCTCCTTCCTTCCTTTCTTCTCCTGCGCTCCAGCCTTCCTTCCCTTCCTGGATGTCCCACTTTTCTTCTACAGTATCTGCCCACCCACTCACACACCCATCTGGCTGTCTTTCTGCCTTCTGTGATGGTTGCATTTTTTTTCCTTTAAGACAAGGTGTTGCTCTGTCACCCAGGCTGGAGTGCAACAGAACAATTATGGCTCACTGCAGCCTTGACTTCCCAGGCTCAAGTCATCTTCCCATTTTGGCCTCCCAAATAGCTGGGACCACAGGTGTGCACCACCACATCCAGATAATTTATTCTTTTTTTTTTTTTTTTTTTTTTGTAGAGATGAGTTCTACTTATGTTGTCCAGGCTGGTCTTGAACTCCTGGGCTCAAGTGATCTGCCTGCCTTGGCCTCAAGGGACCCTCCCACCTTGACCTCCCAAAGTGCTGGGATTACGGGTGTGAACCACAGTGCCTGGCCGGTGATGGTTGATTTTATGTGTCAATTTGACTGGGCTAAGGAATACCCAGGTAGTTGGTAAAACATTATTTCTGGGCCCATTTGTGAGGACTTTTCCGGAAGACATCAACATTTGAATCCGTAGACTGGGTGAAGATGTGTCCTCACCAGTGTGGGCAGGCATCATCCAGTCCACTGAGGGCCCAAAGAGAACAAAAGATGGAGGAATGGCACATTCAAGCTGTCTCTTCCTGAGCTGGCACATCAACTTTCCTACCCTTGGACGTCGGAGCTTCCTGTTCTCAGACATTTGGGCTCTGGGACTTATACCAGTGGCCTTTCTGATTGTCGGGCCTGTGGCCTCGGATGCCACTGCTCCCCTGGTCTTGGGCCTTCAGACTCAGATGGAATCACACCACAAGCTTTCCTGGTTCTCCAGCATATGATCACATATTGTGGATGTTTTTGTGTCTATAATTGCAGGAGCCATTTCCCATAATACATCTCTTCTTATTATATCTTTTTTTGTTGGTTTTTTTGGAGATGGAGTCTTGCTCTGTCACCCAGGCTGGAGTGCAGTGACCTGATATTGGCTCGCAACCCCCGCCTCCCAGGTTCAAGTGACTCTCCTGCCTCAGCCTCCTGAGGAGCTGGGACTACGTGTGTGTGCCACCACGCCCAGCTAATTTTTGTATTTTTAGTAGAGATGGGGTTTCACCATGCTGGCCAGGCTGGTCTCGAACTCCTGGTCTCAAGTGATCCATCTGCCTTGGCCTCCCAAAGTGCTGGGATTACAGATGTGAGCCACCACGCCTGGCCTCCTCTTATTATATTTGTATACATCCCATTGGTTCGGTTTCTCTGGAGAACCTTAACGAATACACTTCCTATCCGCCACCTCTCCCTCCACATGCATTTCCTTGCTAACAGGCATCCATCCTTCCATCCAGCCTCCTTCTTTCCCATTTTCCATCGCTGCCTCCTCCATCCCCTCCATCCTCCCTTTCGTCTTACCCATCTGTCCTTCCCTCCTTTTATCCATCCGCCGAGCCAGCTTCTTCCCCCACGAATCATCTCTTCTTCCTTCTCTACCATCCTTTCCTGCTGCCCCGCCATCAGCCCCTCCCTCTTCTCTCTTAAAGCCTTATTTTGTCCTTGAACATTGTGAAAAGCCTGGGCAGCAAGTAACAGCTCTCAGCCCTCTGAGGACACTGTCTGGGCATTTATCTTCCCCTTGTTACCCGGGCCTGCCCAAGGTCAGAAAGATCTAATTGATATCTATGTACGCTGGTTACTAGTGCTGTATTCTGCCAGGTTTCTTAGCTTCTGTGTGTCTTGGGTTGATGGAAATGAACCTCACAAGACTGCTGTGAAGATTAAAAACAGACTGAAAAAAAGAAGTGCGTTCCTCACCCAAGGTCAACGCTTGCGATTTCTGGCAGTAAGCATAGGACATTTTTTCTGTCTTCTTTACCACCCCCCACCCAAATTTCTGCAGCCTACAGAAAATACTTTAGCATCCAGAATTTATTTATTTACTTATTTAAAGACAGAATCTCGTTCTGTTGCCCAGGCTGGAGTGCCATGGCGTGATCTTGGCTCACTGCAACCTCCGCCTCCTGGGTTCAAGTGAGTCTCCTGTCTCAGCCTCCCGAGTGGCTGGGATTATAGGCACCCACCATCATGCCCTGCTAATTTTTGTATTTTCAGTAAAGACGGGGTTTTACCATGTTGGCCAGGCTGGTCTCAAACTCCCGACCTCAGGTGATCCGCCCACCTCGGCCTCCCAGAGTGCTGGGATTACAGGCATGAGCCACTGTGCCTGCCCCCGAATTTGTTTTAAGCATTGATTTTAAGGAGAGAAGGTGGACATAAAAAATAGGAATAAGCATATCAAGTGCCTTGTGCGGTCCGTGACCAAATGGTGCTCAGCTGAAGATAATGGACACTGTTAGCAGAGGGTGCCTGTGAGATTGCTGGAGCTCCCCTCACTCCCTGACAGGCTGCCAGACACGGCCCCGGGCTGCTGCTGGTCCCACACCCCATCTCAAAGGGGCTGGCCCCAGGAGCTGCCCTCTGCTTTGAGGAAGTGGGAGACAGATGGTCAGGAGCGCAGCACCACTGAGCACAGCTCCTGGATGGGATGGAGAGCCTCCCACTCGGTCCCTTACAAACAGACTTACCTTCAAAAAGGTAATCCAGGTATTCGGACTCCACCCAGGGGGACTTGGAGCTGGGAGAAACCGTCCGCACGCGCCCTTTGAACTTGTTGTACAGATCCTGTTTCTTCAGGCACATCAGAGCACACACCAGCTCCTTGGTTCCTGCACACTTTTCAACTTTGCGCCACCGTCCAGGGGTGGGAGAGCTGGGGAAGGAGGCAGGAGAGCTTAGGCCATGGACTCAGCCTCTCAGGGTTGGGAACTTAGAGAACAGGTGATCACGTGTCCCTCCATTTGGCTGGACTGCCCATAGGTCCATCTGTCCAGACAGGCAGACACTGGCTGAGACAGGATGAGAGCAGCCGGGTCAGCAGCTCAGGTTCTGGAGCCAGATGGATGAGAGGGGGAATCCCAGCCCTGCCCCTCCCTAGCTTAGGGACTATGGGCAGGTCCCTGCTCCTAAGCCTCAGTTTCCTCATCTGTAATGCCTCCCTCACAGGGCTGTTGGGGTTGCTGCTATTCCTAGTACTAGTGACCATTACTATAAGTTTGTTCCTTCAGGCTTTTATGGGTCACCTGCTGCATGCCAAGCACCATGATGGGTACTCTGTGGATGTCGGAGGGGAACATGCAGGTCCTGACTCCAACCTGGAGGCTTCAGAGAGCTGCCTGGCCCTTCCATCTCTTCTGCCACGTGAGGACACAGTGTTTGCCCTTCCACTATGTGAAGATGGAGAGGAGGCACCATCTGGGAAGCAGAGAGCAGCCCTTACCAGAACGGAATCAGGTGCCACTGTGATCCTGGACTTCCCAGCCTCTAAAACTGTGAAAAGTAAATTGCTATTATTTATTAATAGCAATTACTAGAATTACCCCATTCTAAGGTATTTTGTTAAAGCAGCACAAATGGACTAAGCCAGAGACACAGGGGGTCTAACTCTAACATGCTTTTGTTTTGTTTTTTGAGATGGAGTCTCACTCTGTTGCCCAGGCTGGAGTGCAGTGGCGTGATCTTGGCTCACTGCAACCTCCACCTCCCAGGTTCAAGTGATTCTCCTGCCTCAGCCTCCCAAGTAGCTGTGATTACAAGTGCATGCCACCATGCCTGGCTGATTTTGTATTTGTAGTAGAGACAGGGTTTCACCATGTTGGCCAGGCTGGTCTCCAACTCCTGACCTCAGGTGATCCACCTACCTCGGCCTCTCAAAGTGCTGGGATTACAGGCGTGAGCCACTGTGCCCAGCCTAACATGTTTTTACAAGCTCACTCTGGTCAAACAGCAAGGAGGCCACAGCAGAAAATACGACTACGTACTCACCAGAATGGTTAAAATGAAAAAGACTGATAATACTAAGTGTTAACAAGCACGTGGAGTAACTAGAACTCTCATCGCATATTGTTGGTGGCAACGAACAATGGTACAGTCACTTTGGAAACAGGTCAACGGTCTCCTGTATACGTTCATTACCTAATCTCCTAGATTCTACTCCTACATCCATTTTCCTTCTCTCTCTCTCCCTCCCTTTCTTCTTTCCTTCCTCTCTTCTCTCTCTCTTTTTAGAGGTAGAGTCTCACTCTGTCACCCAGGCTGGGGTGCAGGGGTGCAATCATAGCTCACTGCAGCCTAAAACTCTTGAGCTCAAGGGATCCTCCCACCTCAGCCTCCCGAGATGCCAGGGCTACAGGTGTGAGCCACCATGCTGGCTAATTTTGAAAACTTCTGTGGAGATGGGGTCTCACTATGTGGTCTCACAGGCTGATACTCCTAGATCTTTAAGAGAAATGAAAACATATTCATACAAAGACTTACATACGAATGTTCACAACAGCTTAATTCATAATAGCCCTATTATGGACTGAATTGAGTTGCTCCAAAATTCATATGTTGAAGCCCTCATCCCCAAGGGTACTATACTTGGAGATAATTATGATTAAATGAAGTAATAAGGCTAGGGCCCTAATCCAGTAAGACTGATGTCCTTATGAGAAGAGGAAGAGACACCAGAGTGAACACACACAGAGAGAAATCCATGTGAGACCACAGCAAGAAGGCGCCATCTGCTAGCCAAGGAGAGAGGCTTCAGGAGAAACTAAACCCAGCAATGCCTTGACCTTGGACTTCCAACCTTCAGAACGGTGAGAAAATAAATTCTGTCGTTTACCCAGACTGTGGTAATAGGTTATGGCAGCCCTAGCCAACAAATGCAGATTTGGGCACCAGAAATGAGGTGCCGATGTAACAAATACCTAAAAATGTGGAAGTGGTTTTGGAACTGCGTAATGGGTAGAATCTAAAAGAGGTTTGACGTGCACGTTACAGAAAGCCTATATTGCCTTAAGGGGACTACTGGTAGGAATATAAACATTAAAGGTGTTTCTGGTGAGGTCTCAGATGGAAAAGAGGAACGTGTTATTAGAAACTGGAGGAAAAATGACCCTTGTTATAAAGTGGCAAAGAACTGGCTGAACTGTCTTCTAGAGTTTTGCAGAAATTCAAAGTTCAAGGATCATTGGCTAGCGTCTCAAAAATTATAACATAAAGTAAATGAACAAAAAAGAGAGAACTTGGCCGGGTGCAGTAGCTCAAGCCTGTAATCACAGCACTTTGGGAGGCCGAGGCGGGTGGATCACGAGGTCAAGAGATCGAGACCATCCTGGTCAACATGGTGAAACCCCGTCTCTACTAAAAATACAAAAAATTAGCTGGGCATGGTGGCGCGTGCCTGTAATCCCAGCTACTCAGGAGGCTGAGGCAGGAGAATTGCCTGAACCCAGGAGGCGGAGGTTGCGGTGAGCCGAGATGGCGCCATTGCACTCCAGCCTGGGTAATGAGAGCGAAACTCTGTCTCAAAAAAAAAAAAAAAAAAAAGAGAGAACTTAAAAGAGATGAACTTGGACACTTAGCTGAAGAGATTGCTAAGCAAAGTGCTGTAGGTGCGACCTGGTTTCTTCTTACTGCTTGTAGTAAAATGTGAGAGAAGAGATACATGAAAGGACTTGGTAAGCAAAAAGGAACTAGAACTTGAAGACTTGGAAGATTTTCAGCCAATTCGCATTGCAGAAAAGAAAAAAAAAAAAAAAGAGTGAGGAGAGAGAAAGCGTGTTCTGGGGAGGACATCAAGGTTGCGACTAGAAAATCATTTGGTAAGGAGATCGGAGGTGCAACTCACAGAAATACTGATGGGATTATACCAGCCGAGGCTGCCAGCTTTGCCTAAAGGGGACGGAGATGGGACAGAATGAAGGAAGAGCTGGAGCTATTCGGCTGTGAACATGCATTATCCTTCAAGAACAGGGAAAAATTACCTGGAAGATGATTCAGAGCTCAGTAGGATTGTCACTGCCACCAAAGACCTAGAGGCAAGGCTGTCCCCTCCTCAGTTTCAGCAGGCTAGGCTGCTGCTAACCAGGGCCTCGAGAGTAGGGTCACCACCCAGGGCAAAGGGGTGGGGCTGCCACCCCAGTGGACCCAGAGGGCAGAGCACTGAGCCAGAGGGCTATTCTTGAGACTTAAAATCTAATGGAATTTGGCCTGCCAGATTTTAGACTTGCTTGGGACCTGTCACTCTTTCCTTCTTTCCTATTTTTCTCTTTTGGAACGGGAAAGTCTATTCCACATCTGTCCCACCACTTTATTTTCAAAGCACAAAACCAGCCGGGTTTCACAGGTTCGTAGGTGGAGAGGGATTTGGCCTCAGGATGAGTTAATACCTCCAGTCACACCCAGACCTGATTTAGATAAGACTTCGAATTTAGAGTAGATGCTGAAATGGGCTAAGAGTTTTGGGGCTGCTGGGATGGAGTGAATGTATTTTGCATATGAGAAGGACACAAATTTGGGAAGTCTGGAGGGCAGGGAAACAATCGGCATGTCCACTGACGGGGACATGGATGAACAAATGTCATACAGAGTCACACAATGGCATTACTACTCAGCAAGAAAAAGGAATTAATTACGAATACACCTAACAATGTGGGTGGATTTCAGAAACATTCTGCTGAGTGAAAAGCGCCAGACACAGAAGGGCATGTACTGTGGACATCCATTTACATGAAATTCTGGAACATGCAAAGTTCAATCCACAGTGTCAGAAAGCAGATCTGTAGGTGCCTGGATCTAGGAGGCCCCAGTGCAAAGTGGATGAGGAAACTTTCTGGGGTGATAGAGATGTCTCACATCTTGATTGTGGTAGTGGTTACACGGGTACATACTTTTGCCAAAACTCACCAAATTGTGTACTTTAAAATGGGAACATTTTATTCTATATATATTTTCATTCAATGTAAAAAGAAAATTGGAATGAATTCCACAAGGTAGTCTATAATAAGAAATGTACATTCTTAGTTGTGAACGTGTCAGCTAAAAGCAGACTAGAGTTTTAGGAAAAATAAATGTAACCAAGAGAAAGATTATAAATGATATGTTGAATAATCTCAAACATGAAAGCACTCAGTTTTTTAAAAAATCAAGAGTGAGGCCGGGGGCAGTGGTTCATGCCTGTAATCCTAGCACTTTGGGAGGCCCAGGCGGGTGGATCACCTGAGGTCAGGGTTTGCGACCAGCCTGGACAACGTGGTGAAACCCTGTCTCTACTAAAAATACAAAAATTAGCTGGGCGTGGTGGCATGTGCCTATAATCCCAACTACTCGAGAGGCTGAGGAAGGAGAATCGCTTGAAACCAGGAGGTGGAGGTTGCAGTGAGCCGAGATCACGCCACTACACTCCAGCCTACATGATGGGAGCGTGACTCCATCTCAAAAAATAAAAAATAAAATCAAGAGTGAAATCTAATTCATTTGGAGAACAGAATAGTAGCTAGATAGACAGATAAAAGGCGTTTGAAAGCAAAAGACAAATATTCTCTCCTTTTTCTTTAATTTGAGACAGGGTCTCACTATGTTGCTGAGGCTGGTCTCAAACTCCTGGGCTCAAGCGATCCTCCCACCTCTGCCTCACAAAGTCTTGGAATTATAGGTGTGAGTCACTGTGCTCAGTGGAAAGACAAATATGGAAAACAAAAAAAGAAGATTCAACATACAAATGATATGAGTCCCTAAACCAAAGCAAGAAAATAGAACAAATTCTAAAACTATAATTTAAGAAAACTTTCCTGAAATAAAAATGACTTGGAACTATGTATTAAATGGGAATATTGAGTACTTAAAAATATCAACCCAGAATGAATAAGCATTACCAACATACAGTCAAATAAACTTGCTAGATTTTAAGGAAAGAGCAACAACCCTTTATTAGTCAGGATTCTCCAGTGGAACAGAACTAATAGGATCTATGTATATATGAAAGCTTATTAAGGAGAATTGGCTCATACCATCACAAGGCGAAGTGTGATAGGCTGTCAGCAAGGTGGAAAGAAAGAAGCCAGTAGTGTGGCTCAGTCCGAATCTGAAACCCTCAAAACCAGGGAAGCCAAGAGTGCAGCCTTCAGAGAGCCCCAGCAAAAACCACTGATTTAAGTCCAAGAGTCCAAAGGCCAAAGAACCCAGAGTGTGCTGTCCAAGGGCAGGAGGAGCAGAAGGAAGTATACAGCACGGGAGGAAGAAGGAAGCTAGAAGACCCAGCACGCAAGGCTATCCCACCAGCTTTCACCTGCTTTCCAGCCACCCTGACAGCCAACTGGGTTGTGCCCCCCAACAGTGAGTGAGGGTGGGTCTTCCTGTCCCAGTCCCCTGACTCAAATATTGATCTCCTCTGGCAACACCCTCATAGGCACATGCAGAAACAAAATTTTAACAGCCGTCTAAGCATCCTTCAATCCAATTAAGTTGACACCTGGTATTATTAACCATCACAAACCCTGTGGGCAAAAAGAGCAAGAAACTATTAAGATGCAAGAATGTATGTTTTGGGATAAAGAAAATGAGTAAAGACGGGTCATTCTCGTTCTATCATCTCCCCTGTCCTTGAGAGCCAGGATTCTCAATGCGAAGAAAGAAAATACAGATATAATATAGAAGAAGTCAAGTAAAAATCGTAAGAAACTAAATTTAGATTGGAAGCACTAGTAGAAACTCATTAGGCATTTTATCTTAAAAATTATGTACATGTAGGCTGGGTGCGATGGCTCATGCCTGTAATCCCAGCATTTTGGGATGCTGAGGGGGGCAGATCACTTGAGGTCAGGAGTTGGAGACCAGCCCGGCCAACATGGTAAAACCCTGTCTCTACTAAAAATACAAAAAATTAGCTGAGCGTGGTGGCAGGTGGCTGTAATCCCAGCTACTTGGGAGGCTGAGGCAGGAGAATCTCTTGAACCCAGGAGGCAGAGGTTGCAGTGAGCCGAGATCATGCCACTGCACTCTATAGCCTGCGTGACAGGGTGAGACTCTGTCTCAAAAAAGAAACACACAAACAACTTACGTGCGTGTGTGTGTGTGTCTATGTGGTATGCACACATCAGTCTGTTTACTGAAAAGACCAAAAGCAATGGCTAAGTAGTGAGCACCATAGCTAGCATGCAGATTAGGGTCTTTACAACCATTTCTTACTAAGTGGAGAAATGGCTGACTGCAGGTTTTAGGTCAGGAATTGTACCAGAGGGGCCTGGAACATCTTGTTGTGACAGACAGCTGGCAAGGTATCAAAGACCACTAGAGTCAGGTTAAAAGGACTCAGGAGCAAGCTCGATGACACTCCCACTGGACAAAGACGGGGCAATTCAAGATTCAATGAGTGCGTCGAGTTCATATGATAATAATAAACTAGCGATCACCTTTGGGAGATGATAGGGAACCAATTCATTATTTTGAAAATTGGTAAAGGAAAAATCAAGCCTTTATCCTCTCCTGCCTATTTGAATAGTGTGACTGGATATCAAATACCAAATGAGAGGACACATCTCTTTATAAAATAATTTCAACTAACAAATGAAAAAAATTATATAATTAGAATATCACCATTTTACAACCCCCACAGGTTTTTAAAATATAAAAGAGATGAAAAATATCATAGAAGTTTAGAAGACAGATTTTCTTTCTTTTGAGGATCTTGCTTTGTTACTCAGGTTGGAGTGTAATGGTGTGATCTCAGCTCATTGCAACCTCTACCTCCAGGGCTCAAGTGATCTCCCCACTTCGGCCTCCTAAGTAGCTGAGAACACAGGCACACACCACTATGCCTCACTAATTGTGTGTGTGTGTGTGTGTGTGTGTATGTGTGTGTGTATGTGTATGTGTGTGTGTGTGTGTGTGTGTGTGTGTGTTTTGTAGAGACCAGGTTTCACTGTGTTGCCCAGGATGGTCTCGAACTCTTGGACTCAAGCAATCTGCCCACCTTGGCCTTCCAAAGTGCTGGGATTACAGGCGTAAACCACCATGCTTGGTCCCAGAGGACAGACTTTCAACTCCTAAATAAATTTATTCCAGCCACACTACACCTAGCTGTGTGACTTTGAGCAAAATACACCCTAGGCACTTCAGTTTCCTCCTCTGTAAAGAGACGTACTGAACTTGTCCTCACAGAGCTGTTGTGAGATCAAATTCATTTCATGCGTTGACACAGTGCCAGTCACACTGTAAATAGTAGGTGTTTTCTGCCGCCTGATAGAGCTCTTGCTTTTGAAAGCTCTCTTGTCCCTGCCCAAGCCAGGCCCCCATCACTCACATGTGGATCCCACAGATGGAGGGAAGACATGATGGAACAGGAAGGGCACAAGTTTTGGAGTCAGACTGGAGTTCCCCTTCTGGCTCCATGACGTCCTTCCTCAGACAAGACACAGCATCCCCCTGAGCTCCATCCCCTCACCTCTACAATGGAGAAAACACAGAGCCTGCCTGGTGACATTGGCAGGGGAAGTGAAATATTCACATAGGGCCCTTAGCCCTTGGCCTGGCACAGGATGAGTCCTGAGGACACAGTGCTTCCCTCTCCTTCCTGCTCTCCTGTCCTTACCAATTCCAGGTGAATCCTCCTGCGTTTCTGCTTCTATCATTCACTATCCTGCTAAAGAACTTCAAACGACTCCCATCTGTGTTCAGAGATGGTGGATCTGCTTCCACTGTCAGTTTCTGGATTCACAGTGGCTGCCTAGGCTTCCAAATTGAGAAGGATCCCATGGGGAAGTATGATCATTCAGCCAGTCGCAGTGGCTCACACCTGTAATCCCAGCACTCTAGGAGGCTGAGACGGGTGGATCACCTGAGGTCAGGAGTTCGAGACCAGCCTGGCCAACATGGCAAAACCCCCATCTCTACTAAAAATACAAAAATTAGGCAGGTGTCGTGGTGCATGCCTGTAATCCAGGCTACTTGGAGCTGAGGCAGGAGAATCCCTTGCACGAAGGAGAATCGATTCCATCCAGGAGGCAGAGGTTGCATGAGCTGAGATTGCACCACTGCACTCCTGCCTGGGCAACACAGCAAGACTCTGTCTCAAAAAAAAAAAAAAAAAGTGTGATCATTCAGGGATGCCTGATTGCTCAGGTAACAGCTCCTCTGCTGTGCATCTAGTTGCCTCACCTATCAGCTGGGACAGCTCCAAGCACTTCATCCAGCCACTTGAGAATTTCATCCTCTGGCCACATGGCTCCATCTGTGCTCCACACCACCATCAAAGACCCACCCCAGCCCTGGCAGGCTGGTCACCTGTATGCTGCTCTTCATTCAACATCTTCCCCACCTCCAGACCTTTATCAAAAGCCCCTCTCCAAATGCCTGCCACACACCATCTCCCGTGGGGCCCAGTGCACCAGCCAATGCTGCCCACACTGGGTGCAGCTGTCCCAGAGAAGCCCCTTCAGCCCCCACCCGCCCCCTCAGTCTCCTCATCCACTAGCCGAGAGAGTCCCCTCTACCTCTGATAGGCCACAACATAGGTCACATCCTGGGGGTTGCCAAGCCCTGGGAGCCACGTCAGGTACACACTGAAGTTCTGGGAGAGCAGCATCACGTTCTGGGGAGGGGCCAGATGGGGTCTCCCTGGGGGAAAGAGAGGGATCATGAAACGTCCGCTCCTGGCTGGTCTTGACTTGGGCCACCCCAAGCTGAGGGGCAGCATGAAGGGCAGGCAGGTGCTCACCGAGTTGTGGAACCAGGAGCCATTGACTGGCTGTACCGCTGCCCTTGTACCATGAGAGAAGCCCCTGTGCCAGGAGGGGAGGCTCCTGGACATGCTGGGACCTGAGGGTTCCAGCAGAATACCATGGAACAGGAAGCCGATGGCCTCCAGGAGGGAGTGTCCCTGTGGGTATCAAGGACCAGGAACTCTGTCCTGTTCTCAGCCATGTCCCCAGAGCCTGCCTGCCATGGCCGCAGCACGTAGTAGGTGTGCAATAAACGTCTGTTGAGTGAATGAATGAATATTACAATAACATGGGTTACACCAAAGTCTTCCTAACCGGTCACCCTGCTTCCAACCTTTCCAATGCAGCAAAGGTTGCTGCCTAGGCATTAGAAGTAGAAGCCACGTTCAGATGGCCCAAGTCAGTGTCCAGAGATAAGAACTTAGAGGCGTCTCTCCCTCCTGGCAAACTGGGCTCCCTATTTTCCACCCATTTCTTTAAAGGGGCCATTCAGGCATCTGCCCTTGAACTTAACCTGACCCACAGCCTTGTCCCTTATATAATGCACTTCTCACTGCCACAAGCTCTCTTTCTTTTTGCCTGACTCTTCATTCCTGCTTCACGTAGCCCAGGATGGAGGATGGCCCTCCCTACTCATTGCACCCTCCCTGCTCGGGATCTGTAAGTAATAAGCCTTTGAACTTGTTTCCCATTGAGGTGGTGTACTGAATTTGCACCTTCCATCTCAAGAACCTGGGCCCAGCCTGGGCCTGATTTTCCCTGCGTTACTGGGAACACAGGCTGGCTCCTAGCCCAGAGCAACGGTCAAACAGGCACAAACCTGGACACGGATCGGACAAGAGCCACAGGGACGTCTGCCAGTATAAACAAGTGTGAAGGACCCCCAGCCATGGGTTAGACAGTTAGGCATTAGGCTGTCCACCAGTAAGAAGTATTTCATGGGCTGGGCAAGATGGCTCATACCTTTACAGGTGTGAGCACTTTGGGAGGCCGAGGCGGGTGGATCATCTGAGGTCGGGAGTTCGAGACCAACCTGGGCAATGTGGTGAAACCCTGTTTCTACTAAAAATGCAAAAAATTACCCAAATTTGGTGGCACAGGCCTGTCATCTCACCTGCTCAGGAAGCTGAGGCATGAGAATTGCTTGAACCCAAAAGGCAGAGGTTGCAGTACTGAAATCGCGCCACTGTACTCCAGGCTGGGCGACAGAGCGAGACTCCATCTCAAAAAAACAAAAACAAAAACAAAAATCAAAGTATTCCCTGAAGGGCACACTGTAAATACCCTGCCCAGCTCCCCGGCATTGTACATTCGGGCAGGCTTGCCATCCGCTCTGCTACTGGAACCCTAATTTAGCTGGGGGCTCTCAAAAGCCCTTGTCTCCAGGTGGATGATCACTGCATCCACATTTGCAGGCATGCTGCTATGGAAGTTTAGGTGACACCTATATTCACTATTTATTTCACAGTTTCAGTTTTGCAATTTGTGAATGGCTTTTTTCCCTGAAAATTCATTTTAACTTAAAAGTATGTTTTTAATTCCCTCGATTTAATTAATGGACTATATGCATATTTATATCTAAGTGTGCTTACATGTTAATAATGTATTTGCATAGTTATGAGAATTTCACATTGGACTCCATGGTGGTAAAAACATAAATACAGGGTGGGCACGGAGGCTCATGCCTATAGCCCCAGCACTTTGGGAAGCTGAGGCGGGCAGATCATGAGGTCAGGAGTTCGAGACCAGCCTGACCAACAAGGTGAAACCCCGTCTCTACTAAATACACAAATTTAGTTGGGCATGGTGGCACGTGCCTCTAATCCTAGCTACTCAGGAGACTGAGGCAGGAGAGTCACTTAAACCCAGGCGGTGGTGGTTATAGTGAGCAGAGATCGTCTCACTGCACTCCAGCCTGGATGACAGAGCGAGACTCCTTCTCAAAAATAAATAAATACATACATACATACGCACATACAATATCTGCCATATACATTTTTTTTCTGTTGGTTTAAGAAAATATCTGACAGATTTACCTACTTCTGAAGGTTCATCCAAGCCCATACATTGGTGAGAGAGTGTACTGATGTGGAGTATGTGTGCTTTTGTTTTCAGTTCTGCTCTAGATCGTAACTGTGTAAAAAACACTGTCATAATCAGTTACACTAAAATTCATGAGCCCAAATGTAAGATGAAAGTCTGCACTGTAGTCCAAGATCACTGCCCTATCGATAATTATGTTCTCATTTTGATTTACAGAAGAGCTTTATGGTAGAAACACCAGAAAACATCTCATACTATTAAAAGGCTTTTTCTCCTTTTTAAGAAAACAAACAGGCGGGCATGGTGGCTCACACCTGTAATCCCAGCACTCTGGGAGATTGAGGTGGGAGAATCGCTTGAGACCAGGAATATAAGACTTGCCTGGGCAACACAGGGAGACCCCCATCTCTACAAAATACATTTTTAAAAAATGAGCAGGGCATAATGGTGAGACTCAGGAGGCTGAGGTGGGAGTATCGACTGAGCCCAGGAGTTCAAGGCTGCCGTGATTGTGCCACTGCACTTCAGTCTGGCCAACAGAGCAAGACCCTGTCTCAAGAAAACAAATGTACAAAACACCTTGCCTTCGGTCCATTCTCCACACAGCAGGAAGGGTTAAAATGAAAATCAGATCATGTTCCTCTTCTGCTTACACCCTCTAAAGGCTTCCATCTCGCTCCAGGTAAACTCCAAAGTCTTTATTATTTTTGCTGTATTTTATTTTGAGACAGAGTCTCACTCTGCTGCCCAGGCTGGAGTGTAGTGGCGCGATCTTGGCTCACCGCAACCTCCGCCTCCCGGGTTCAAGCAATTCTCCTGCCTCGGCCTCCAGAGTAGCTGGGATTACAAGCATGTGCCACCACACCTGGCTAATTTTTTTTTATCTTTAATAGAGACAGGGTTTCACCATGTTGGCCAGGCTGGTCTTGAACTTCTGACCTCAGGTAATCCACCAACCTTGGCCTCCCAAAGTGCTGGGATTACAGGCCTGAGCCACTGCGCCCGGTCTAAACTCCAAAGTCTTTACCATCATCACCAAGGTCCTACCCAATCCGACCCACCACTCCTCCCTTGCTCCCATTTCTCTGTTCACACAGGCCTTTTTCCCCTTCCTGGAGCACCCCAGCCATACTCCCGACTCCAGGCCTTTGCACACACTGTTCCCTCATGCTGTTCCCTCTACCTTAATAGTTCTGCCCCTGGATATCCACCTGGCTCACTCCTTTGCCGTTTTCACACTCCTTTGGTGTCACTGTCTCGAGGATACTTTCCCTGACCACCTTTAACTGACCTCTATTCCCCTCCGCGGCACATTTTCCTTCTCACTGTCAATCCTCGTCTTCTGAAATATGCATCTGATAACACCACTCTCCAGTTCCATGCCCTTTCCTTGGCCTCAGAATAAAGTCCACACTCCTTATTGAGGTGTGTGAGGCCCTGCCTGACGTGGCCTGGCCAGGCCGTTTCGCTGCTCTTTCCCTGACAGCTGCCCTACAGGCTCGCCAGGCTATCTTCCTTCTGGAGGTTGCCAAGCCACTGCATCCTTCTGGATGTTTTTAAACCCATGTGTCTTTGACTTCCTGGTGTTCACCATCTAATATCTTTGAAAGACTTGACTCAGGCTGGGTGCAGTGGCTCATGTCTGTAATCCCAGCACTCTGGGGGGCCGAGGCCAGCAGATCACCAGCGCTGGGAGTTTGAGACCAGGGTGACCAACATGGAGAAACTCCATCTCTACTAAAAATACAAAATTAGCTGGGTGTGGTAGTGCATGCCTGTAACCCCAGCTACTCAGGAGGCTGAGGCAGGAGAATCATTTGAATCCAGGGGGTGGTGAGCTGAGATCGTGCCATTGCACTACAGACTGGGCAACAGGAGCGAAACTCTGTCTCAAAAAAAGAAAGAGATGTCACAAATGTCACTTCCTCCAGGGAGTCTTCCTTGACATATCTGTGAGGTGGTGATGATGATGATGACAGTGAGGATGGTAATAATAGCAGCTAAGGCCGGGCATGGTAGCTCACGCCTGTAATCCCAGCACATTGAGAGGCAGAGACGGGCGGATCACCTGAGGTCAGGAGTTCGAGACCAGCCTGGCCAACATGGTGAAACCCCGTCTCTTCTAAAAACACAAAAATTAGTTGGCTGCGGTGGTGCACGCCTGTAATCTCAGCTCCTTGGGAGGCTGAGACACGAGAATAGCTTGAATCCGGGAGGTGGAGGTTGCAGTGAGCCAATATCATGCCACTGCACTCCAGCCTGGGTGACAAAGTGAGACTCTGTCTCAAAACAAACAAATAAACAAATAAATAATAGCAGCTAATGTGCATTGTGTTCTATGAGCTGGGTTCTGTGCTAAACACTTTACCTGTACTTTCTCTTTTAATCCTCACCACATCCCGAGGAGGTAGATGTTCATTATAATAATTCTAATCACTACACATGGGAAAACCAAGGCCCTCTCAGCTATTAAATTGTAGAATCAGATTCAATCTAGGCCTAGCCAACTCCAGAGACCAAGCTCTTGACAGTACTTTGTCCTCTAGGTTCTCATGGGTTCAACTTTATGATTCCAACTAATCCGTCTATTGACCACTACTAGTCAAACAAGACCTGTTGACCACGATGTGCCAGGGACTTCAAAGAGGAACAACAGCTTCATTCCTGCCCTATAGGAGCTCATGGTCTCATGGAGAATTCAGGGCCCTGAAGTGTCCCATGGGCCATGATGGAAATCCATACAGGTTGCAGAAAGGGCGTCAGGGAGGGCCCAGTTCTACTGCCTGCTCTCCCCAGCTTGGGCTGCGTACCCCTGACCTTTTAGACCCAAAAGTGGGTGCCTGCTTCCACCTTATCCTGTGTCCTCTAGCTAGGACTGTATCACCACGATGCTAGTGCTGTTACTACTCCCAGCTTGTGGACTTCCTGATGGGTGCCCAGCAGGCCAGGCTACCTGCAAGCCACTTGTAAGGTATCCTTTGGGCAGGACAGTCCTCAAATTTGAGCTAGGTCCCACCAGAAAAACAGCAGCTACAGCAGTTTTCCTCTATGAAGCCTTGAAAGGATGCCAGGCACTGGTTTGCCTCTTTACACGCAAAACCTCAATCATCCTCGGGACAGACCACCCTATGAATAGGTGTCATTCATTCCCCTTCTGTGGAAGGGGCACTAGGCTCAGAGACAGATGCTAACTAACTTGCCCGAGGCTGCAGGGCCAGTTTGTGTGGGAGCAGGTACTGGAACCTGGATCTGGCTGTACTTCCCCTAATCATCTCACCATAGTTAGTGTTGTGTCTATTAAGTATTTATCAGGTGAAAGCACATCCAGATCTAGGCAGGAAACTACTGGGTTTGACAGTGACATGCGGACAGAAGGCCCTCCCTCCACACACAGGTGCGCTGTCCGCTGTCCGTCTTCAGCCGCAGAAAACGCTGCTGTGGGCACTGGGGGCTGGTGCATCCCTGGCTGGCCTAGCGACCTGGCGGAAGGACGGCCTGTCCCTGGTGCCCATCCCAGAGACCAAAGCTAGCCAGGCTGGCTTCAGCCCGCTTCTCTCTTCCGTGTGCTTCACCTCTGCCGTCCTCCGTGGGCAATTCACTGGATTGCTCTAAGCTTCAGTTTTCACAACGGAAAAGTGAGAATAATATCTACCTCCTAGGACAGCTGGGTTGTGAGCTTCTAGAATAACGTGGTGCCTGGCACAATGAAGTTGCTCAATAAATACTGGCTTTTATGACAATTAGATTACACCAAGGGATGTTACCGGATCTTTATAAACTGTGAGTCCAAGGCTAGGAAAATATCCCCGGGGCAATTTCTGGACCTCCTCCTCCCTGCTTTGGTTGGAGTGGGAGGAGGTGAGGTTTGGTGGTTGGGTACTAGGGCGAGGTATTTTGTACCCGATCCCTACTTACCAGTAGAGGAAAAAAAAAAAAAAAAAAATAGAAAGAAAAAGAGAAAGTGCCTTGTTAGAAAGCAGGGCACAGGCGAAACCAGAGCTCCGTCCACCCGAAGGCCCGGCGGGAATCGGAGGGGCCCTCAATCCGTCCCACTTTCCCTAATGCCCACACTTTAGGGTCCAGTGTGGTTTTCACGCAGGGATCAAGTGCTTTCTTTAGGAAATCTTAAAAAGCACTTCGTTAAAAAAAAAAAAATGCAGTTGATTTTAAAACTGCCGCTGTCTTTTTTCCAGTTCTCCTGAAGCTGGAAGAATTTGCAAACTGGATTAGTTTCCTGCGGGAAAGGAATTTCAAAGACCCGGCTCCGTTCAGTCCCGGGAAGACGCAAACTGGTAGCGCGGGGGCAGAGCCAATTCGCACCGGGCTCCGGAGGCTGCGGACCCCGTCCCTGTCCCGGGAGCTCCGCGTCGGAGTGTGGGCGCGGTGCGGCCCGGCCCGGGGCCCCCCTTCCCCCGCCCGCCCGCGGCCCCGCGACCTTACCTGGAGCGGCCTGCAGCAGGCACAGGAGCAGGGGGCCCCAGCGCCCGGGCCCCGACATGGCCTCCCCGCCGCGGCGTCCCCGCCCGGGCCCAGATCCCGCCTCCCGGCTCCCGCCTCCTAGCCCACCGCGGGCAGGTGACGCGGCCGGCAGCCAATGACTGGCAGAGCCGCGGGCCCGTCCCCGCCGCCCGGGAGTCACTAGGGGGGTCCCCGGGGACAGCCCCGCCGCGGGGAGGGAGCGCGCCGGCCCCCGCGTTCGAAACCGGTCGGTACCTCCGCTTCCTCTGCACTTAGTTTTGTTTTACTCAATTCCTGGGGAAAAAAAAAAAATCTGTAAATCCGTGCAAGGGGGAAGGGCGGGGAGAAACGGGCTGATGATCAATAACCCGCGGTCAATCCAGTGCTCCAGGATGGGCCATTGGGCAGGACTAGGGAGAGTTCAAGGCCGGTTTGGCCACCGCGGTGTCAGATGCCGTCGGCGGGATCCGAGCGCGTTTCTGCGCCGGCTGCTGAGCTGAGCGCCTGACACACGCGATCTCCTCTAACGCCCCCGGGAATCCCCGGGGGTCGGTGCTGCGCTTCCCCACGGACTTCTCTCCCGGGGAGCGGCAGGTCGCGGAGCCTCAGGTGCTGGCTCCCGGGAAAGCTGTCTTTCCGACGCCGAAGCCTGTGGTGGTCACCGGCACGGTAGTAGCTTCCAAACGAGGCACAGGCCAGGACGCGCGATATTCCGCGGCCCTTTAGGAGGCTGTTGCCGAATGGTGTGTATCCACACCGAGGTGTTTGCAACACACCGAGAAACAGAAAAGCGAGTGCTGAAACATGGGCCCATTAAACATAGACACAGGTTTGGAATAAGAACTACCAAAATATTAATGGTGGTTGTCTTTGGGTGGTGAGGATTTTCTTTTTCAAGTTTCTTCTTTTCTGATCAAATTTGGTTTCCAGTTTTTTGATAATTATTTAAAACTGGGATCAGCTTTGATCCCACCAGTTTTTAGGAGAGAAAGTGATTTTCACAGAGCTTGGTGGATACAAAAGTTGCTCTGAGTTTTGCCACAGGGGAAATTCCTTTTGGAAATTTCAAAATGCTTCTGGGACTAGCATCAGTTTTTTTATTTTTATTTTTTGAGATGGGAGCTCTGTCACCCAGGGTGGAGTGCAATGGCACGATCTTGGCTCACTGCAACCCTGCCTCCTGGGTTCAAGCGATTTTCCTGCCTCAGCCTCCCAAGTAGCTGGGATTACAGGCACCCACCATCATGCATGGCTAATTTTTATCTTTTTGTAGAGCTGCGGTTTCACTAAGTTAGCCAGGCTGGTCTTGAACCCCTGATCTTGTAATATTGGGGTTTAGGGGTTCAGGGTGCCCTCAGCTCCCCTGAGAGGACATTTCTTCAGGTTCTTGGCCTCCTGCCCTCTCAAGAGTGAGAGAGGGGACCACCGCGCAGTGTGCGGTAAATGCTGGACTCAAAAGTGTTTGCAGAAAGTGATTTATTTAAAGAGAAAGAGAAACAGGAGAAGGAGAGAGAAACAAACAGCCAATTCTCCCGCTGAGTGAGAGAATCCAGAAAGATGGAATCCAGGAGAGGAAAGATGGAATCCACAAGAGTGTTAGGGACTCGAGAGAGATGGCGTTTAGGAGAGGAAGACAGGCTTCCACGAGAGAGTGTGGAAGGCGACTCCAGAGGGAGAGTCCAGGAGTGAGAAAGACGGCTTCCACAAAGGGAGTGTTCATGGAAGGAGACCCAAATGTGGAGTCCGAAGGGATGTGGAAGAAGGGGGCTTTTAACCTGGGAGGAACCCCCACCTTTTCTATGACCCCTGGCCAATGAAAGGAATTCCTTAAAACTTCCGCTGGAGTGATTAACTTTTAGTTTCTTTCTGGCCCGTAAAATTTAAATATAATCCGTTAAATCTCTTGGATAGAGAAAGATGGAAGGGGGGCATGGCACTAGAAAGTTCTTGTCCTTAAAACTATGACCCCTTGTGGACCCAGAAAGAGAACACATTCCCTCAGCCTCCCAAAGTGCTGGGGTTATAGGCATAAACGACCACACTCAGCCTTAATCAGGACCTCTTAACAAAGCCCTACTCACAGAGGATGCAATCGGACCTCAAAGGGACAGGGTGGCAGAGGATGGGAGAGCCACAGCAGGCACTGGCAGTGTTTGTATCTTGCGATCTCTGAAATGTTGACTCTTTTCTTTCTCTCTCTCTCTCTCTTTCCTTCTTCCTTCCTTCTTTTCTTTTTTTCATTCATTCATTCATTCATTTCTTTTTTTGAGACAGAGTCTCACTCTGTCACCCAGGCTGGGGTGCAGTAGCACAATCATGACTCACTGCAACCTCTACCTACTGGTTCAAGCGATTCTCATGCCTCAGCCTCCCAAGTAGCTTGGAGTGGTTCAACATCGGGCACGAAAATGTCTTCATTTGCCACCTGCTCCACCCATGGGCTCCTGTGCTCTGCGTCTGAAACTGACACCTGCTGTTTTTTTGACAATGGTTTGTCACATGCTTCTTCTCTTGTTCCTCTCTCCCCGCCCCCCATCATTTCAAGTTAGGAAATTGTGTATCCAAATGCCTTGGTCCCTCGAGGGACATTTTGTGATCATGAGCTTGGCCAAGCTGGATCTGTCAAAACCTTAAAAAAAAAGTCATCTATGATGCCGGTTAGAAAATCTCAGCCAGTTACCATGACCTCACCCCTACTTAGATCCTTAGTATACTGTTTCAGTTTCTTTCAGGCACCTCAAATACTGACAATAAATCCATTCTGGAATAAAATGAATATATCTCTATTGAGATCTTTTTATGCTAAACAGCTAGTTGTACAAGTCTTTATTGAGTCTTTGTTACATAGTGGCACTGCAGTTTACATATAGCATTTGATCTTCACAACAGCCCTAGGAGGTGGATATTATTAATATCCCCTTTTAACAGATGAAACTCAGAGCAGTTACATTCCTTGCTTAGGTCACACAGCTAATTATAGTGACAGGGCTGCCATTTGGAGCTCAATCTGTCTGTCCTCAAAGCTTGTGGTTTTAAAACTTCTGCTGCCCAGTCTCTTGTCTGCTTAAGGGCAAACAAGAACACACTTCCCCAGTCTTAATCACTTCCTGGTTTGCAAAGATCACGGTGCTGACTTCTCAACTCTCATGAGTGGAACTGTGGGTGCTGGAGAGCCGGCTTCCTCTTTGGGTTGGAATATGAGGTAGAAGGAGTGGTACTGATAAATGCTTCACAACTGTTTGGGGGTTTCAGGGATAGGGGTAGAAGTCCTGCTTCCTTGTGTTTGCCAACCTTCATGATGTGAGTATCCCCACCGTGGCTGACTTCAAGCTAGCAAATGTGAGGTCACTGAACACACAGACAAGAAGAAATGTACACAGTTGGCTCCCGAGCCTGTCTGAGCCAGCTCCTGCAGACCACTGGGTGGAAGGAGCCCATTCCCCTCACTGTTAGAGGAGCCAACATCTGCTGTACCACAGCTGAGCTTGCCTATGTTTAGAACAAACCATATCTCAGGCCCCAAGGGCCTATAGGGCTCGTTAAAAGTCTCTGGTCCACGAAATGAGGCTCGAAATCTCTTCTGCAGCTGTCAAAGGTTTTTACAATGTGGCCTCCACCCACTTTTTGAAGTTCCACATCAGTTATCTGTGTTCCAGCCAGAGTCCTGTCAGTTCCCTCTTTCTCTTGCCCCCCTGGCCTTTTCAAACACTGGTCCTTGTGGCAGAAGTTTCCTTTCCAGGCTTGTCTTCTGCGAGTCTTCCAGCAGCCTCCATTCTTGCTTCCAGTCTCGCCTTGCACGCCACATCCTCAGGGAGCCTTTCTTAACCACTGTCTTTGATTTGCTCCCAGTCCCCATGTATATCTCTGACTTAGTCCATTTTGTGCTGCTGTAACAAAATACTGCTGACTGGGTTATTTACAAAAGGAGAAAATTTATTTCTTGTAGTTGTGGAGGTTGGGAAGTTCAAGCTCAAGATGCCTTCGGGTTACAACCCAGTCTCTCTGCTTCCAAGATGGCATCTTGAATGTTTCATCCTCTGAAAGGGAGGAACACCATGTCTTCATATGACAGAAAAGGAGAGAGAGAGAGAGAGAGAGAGAAAGAAAGAGAGAGAGAGAGAGAGAGAGAGAGAGAGAGAGAGAGAGAGAGAGACAGGCAGACACAGAGAGAGAACCCATTCTCCATAAGCCTTTTTTCTTTTTCTTTTTCTTTTTCTTTTTTTTTTTTTTTTTTGAGACAAAGTCTTGCTCTGTCACCCAGGCTAGAGTGCAGTGGTACGATTTCGGGTCACTGCAACCTCTGCCTCCTGGGTTCAAGCGATTATCCTGCCTCAGTCTCTGGAGTAGCTGGGATTACAAGCTCCCCCCACTGTGCCTGGCTAATTTTTTGTATTTTCAGTAGAGACAGGGTTTCACCATCTTGGCCAGGCTGGTCTTTAACTCCTGACCTCATGATCCACCTGCCTTGGCCTCCCAAAGTGCTGGGGATTACAGGTGTGAGCCACCGTGCCCAGCCTCCCACAAGCCCTTTTTATGGCAGCCTGAATCCATTCATGTGGCAGAGCCCTTATAACCTAAACACTTCCTATCAGGCCCTACTTCCCAGCACTGCTGCTTTGAGGATTGAGTTTCCAGCACATGAATCTTAAAGACCACATTTAAAACATAGCAGCCTCTTTGATACAAATGAATCACAATATCATAATTTTTTTGTGTCGAATATCTTCTTGGAGACATCTCTAATGACTCACTCAGAGCGTGGCATATAGTAGACACTTACTGTGAGTAAGCAAACCTTTGCTGAACAGGGCTTAGTCAAACACAATTTCATATGCCCTAAACAATTCAGCCTCACTCCTGGTTCTTATCTGCCACACCTTAGCCACTCATTAAGTGTTTACTAAGTTGAACTTGGCATATGGCGCATAGTTAGAGGACCTCAGTATCTCTTTTGAAAGTCTTACTCCACTCTCGTGCTCCCCTCCATAACTGGAATTTTACAGTCTTCTGTTGTCCCCAAGAATAATGTTTAAGAAATAATGTGGCTGGGCGTGGTGGCTC